GGGACCGGCAGCAACACCGTCACCACATCGCCACCACCAACCTCACAGCAGCAAACCTCACAACAGGTACCTCCAGCAGCATCACCAGCACCAGCACCAGCACAAGCAGGAGACACCCCCGGAGCAGGCGCCTTCAAAGTCCTCCAAACCCTCGTTCCCCCCGTCATCCCCGGAACCCGCACCCGCCAGACCCTAGGCCGCGCGCTGCAGACCCACCTGCCCAGCTTGTTCCCCTCCAGCCGGGACCCCGTCCTCGCCAACGTCGTGCTGCACGGCTCGCCCGTGCCGTTTTCGGCGCCGTTGGAGGATCTGATGCGCGAGGCGGCGTATCCGGATGGTTGGCTTTGTCTAGCTGTCGTGTTGCTGTGAGATGAAAGGGTTGGAGGGGAGTAAGGAGATAGGAGATGGTTGTGTGAAGGGTACTGTGGACGGCACGTAGCATGGAGGGCGTCTTACGTATTGGACTGGGATATTGGAGTTCATTGGAGTTCGCACTTGAACGCAGCATTTTCCGCGCCAAAGGTTGTGAGGGTTGGGTCCCGGCATACTTATGCGATGAACACTCGTGTTTCCTAGATTTAATAAGATGATTGGCATACGAGTCGTTGGAGAATATGAGCTGTTAGTAGAGAAACACTCACTCCGTTCTGAGATCTCATCAATTTTCATTAAATAGAGTATTGTTAATCAGGAAAGCTATTCTACAAGCATTCGCGTAGATCAGGTTTGTGATAGAAATACAGCATAGAACAGACCGAGCCAGCCGGAAGCACAAAACATCAAATCTCAGGTCTACTCAGCCGCCTACCTCACCTTACATATGGCGGTCCAAACCCACCCTGTTCAAATTCCGAACGGCCAGCAGCAGGCAACAAGCCATTCAAATCAGCAAATAACGCCTGCGTATGCGTGTCATAATACATATCATTGCGACTGAAATCAACCTCCCCAAAATCTTGGCCCGTAAACTGCACAGCCACATCCGGCGGCACGGGCGTAGGCTGCATCATGGTCGTCGCCTCCTCCTGTGAGTTTTGCTGCTGCTGCTGCAGCGTCTGTGTCTGCGCGCTTTGCTGTTGTGCCGGATCATCTTCGCGCCTGGAAGAGGAGGCCCCGTTGGCTGGGGAGGCACGGCTTGCTTCATCGGACTCTGTACGCGGCGGCGTCGTGGAGATGTTGGCATCGTGGATCTGTCGGAGACCGCGACGCGCCATCCATGCCTCGTAAATCCTTTCCTGAAGCTGGTTGAACGCGACGCGGTCGTACATGGCGGCCCTCCTTTCGTCGTTTGCGAAATCGGGGTCTCGCGAGGCTAGGTAATCCAGCATCATATCCGTCCCGACACTGGTATAGAATTCTCGAAGGCTACAGAGGTCCTCCGACAGCACACCATCGATATACGGCGATGAAGGCCGCGGCTTTGAAGGAAAGACGATATCCCAGATGGTAAACCACTGCTCTTCCGGGCTATGGCTTGGGTTCGCGCGCTTTGAGACCTGCCGCATTCGACCCTGGGAGAGGCCCTCATGGCTGGGAATGTACCCCTCGCTAACTACCTCACAGCGCCGCGCACGCGCGTGCTGGTCCCGCGTCTCCTCGTCCTGGAAGGCGGCGCCGCAGCAAGGGCAAGTGATGGGCGCGGCGTGGAACCGGTAGAGATGGCTTTTGACGTATTTTATCTGGCTGAGAACTTTCTTATAGCATTGGCGGTGGTTATCGGGGTCATTCTTCCAAAAGGGGCACGCAAACATCAACTTCGAGGTGTTGGTTGGGACTTTTGGCTTCTTGAATCCCGGTATCACGTTCGAGTCCCCGCCATCTGAGGCGTCTTGGTCAGGTAGGTCGTCGGAGTGCGAGCGTTTTCTCGATGAACGACCAGAATCAGGCGTGTTGGTATTGACGCGCTGGCCCGAGGCTCGTCGGCCCTGTCCGCCCCTTTCGCGGACGTTCCATTCTTGGTAGCGTTGGAAGATGTTGCTGACAATGACGTCCATGTGCGATGCTAACGGATCATCCCGATTCAGTTGACATGGCTCCACGGGGGAGTCTGGGACTGAGAAGACGCTCGACTCGATGGATGATTCATCTCCACTGTCGTTGGCAGAGTCGGACTGCTCCTCAACGGCAAGAAAAGATGGCCTAGGTGTCAGGTTTGCGTGCCAGTTGAGAGGGAGGTTGGGCGGGCCGGAGACAGGTCGCGGCATTTTTAGTGAGGTGGGCTGAACGGGCCGTTCAAGCTGTGCGCGAGGTTCAATTGAAGTATCGAGATGCAGGCTCGGCCTAGCGGTGCGTGAGTCTGCAAAAGAGACGGGGTGACCATCTGAGTCCTCGAAGAGGAATAAGCGATTCCTAGCCTTCCGAGTGAGGTCATCCCCAAACGTGGAACTTCTCCGGATGGATGGTGGCCCGATGAGTGAAGATTGTTGTTGCGGGGCATTATCTTCGGGAACAGGCGGAATGTTTGTTGAAGTGATGCTGGGTGTTCTCATGGTCCTGGGCGCTCTTATGACCCTAATATTCGATGTTGGGGGTCGTGAGCTACCAACCGGGTCGCGCAGAGCCGTAGTTCCCTTCATTCGCCGCAGGCCTTTGACGGTAACAGAGAGATCACTGTCATGTATCTGCCTCTCCGTGTCCAGGTGTTCCCTGCTGATCGCCACTCTTTCGCTCTGCTTCGATAGTGCTTCGCATATCTTCGTGTTCTGCGTTGCGAGTTCAACCTCTTTCGGTGTAAGAGTCGGGTCATTGGGTGAATGGGTAACGACAACGGCGCTATGTCTACGCAAATGCCTCTTGCGTCGCCGTGGCACGCCCAAGGTTTCGTCGCTGTCCGACTGGGGTGATGGGCATCGGCGGATGAGGATGTTGGACCCCGATCCCTGATAGTACTTGACGTCTCTGATTCTTACGTTCTGATACTCAGAAGAGTCCCCGCTCCGGTCACGACTTCGTCGCCGCGTATCCGACCCATAACCGGAATCACCCGAGATCCTCTTGCAGTGTCTCTCCTCTGTCGAACCCGGCCGCTCTTCCAAGCTGTCAACTGACGGGCTTCCCCTCTGGTGTTTCCTCGGGTTATGCGGCTGTGGTTGCTGTGGTGGTTTGACACGATATGCCAGGCTAGGCATATTTTCCGATTCAAAGGACGAGTGACGCCGGTCTCCAAGTTGCAGCGGAGTATCGAAGGTCAAAGAAAGCGGGCGTTCAAAGGAGACTGAACAAGGTGAAGGCATCTCGGAAACTTCGGTGTTGTGGTTGACGATGGATGCGCGGCGGGATGAGCGGTTCATGTGAAGGAATTGATATGCAAGGTCTCTGGAGGCCTCATCGACCCTTGCTGACGCGGCAGCAGATGGCCTCAATGATGCAACACCATCGTGTACTTGTGTTGCATCAAGCCTGGTCATACGGCTGCTCGCAATTGTTTTGTGTCCCATGCTGCCCAGAAAGGGAATGTCAAAAATTGCAAGTACCGATAGGAAATCCGCAATTGCGAAGCAGAAAAATGTGGAAAAAAGGCGTCAGAAACAACGAGAAGAATGAGAGAGGGCGAAAGGAGGGGGGAGAGCAGGCTCTGAAATGCCTTCGAACTAAAGCCACAGCGACAACTCGAAAGGGCGCATTTGCGCTGTTGTTCGAGTATGCAAGCTGCGCCATGCCAGGGGGGGGTCGACGATCCGCACCAAAATCTAGGCAATCGTATGCAGGTGCAGCCAATGATGACGATCATGGTGACCGAAAATACCCTTTCCCACCTTTGGACTCGACTCAAAGATGCTTAGTCTGCGAGACTGAAGGATTGCGCAGCGTCGCGCAGGTGATGCGCGAGGTGTTCTTTCCCCTTCCCCACGATTCATCAACTGAGATTCATGAGAGATCTGGAAAGCCTCACTGAGGCCAACCGTGGGCTAAACAGCGCGTTCGTGCCTTTGCGATTCCCTCAATTGAGCAGAAGTTTCTGTTGGTCAACCGCGCAGGTCGACGGTTGAAATGGCATCCTCAGGATCCCTATATGTACGGAAGGTTTTCGATGCTGTGATCTGAGGCATCTCGTAGATACTATCGCGAACATTCATTCTCGTACAAGTGTAGTCGTGCATTGCAATCTGCAAGAAATCAATCAAACCAAACACCAATAATCTCTTACCCCTTTCCTTCCCCACGATGTCTCAACGCTCCGCACCGTCCGGTACCACCACCTCAAATGGCGGGTAAGCTTTTGCCTCTTTGCCTCTCTGGCCCTGATCAGTGTGGTCGCAGGATTATGAATGCTGACGGTTCGGTGGGTTGGTGTGTGTGTGTAGAGCCGGTGCCTATTACACGGCGCCAGCGCCTCAGATGGACAGGTATCTTCGAAGCCCGATGGAGCTGCCCGAGAGACTTGTCTCCATTGGGAACGGCACCTCGTCAACGCGGACGAGTTCGAGCAGTCGCCAGCAGACGCAGCGCTCCATGACAGCGTGGGATGCGAGATGGACGCAAACTGGCCAATCGTCGTGAACCGGACCCCCTAGCTTGCATGACGTTGGAAGACCAGGGCTGTCAGGCACGATGTCAGCATTTCGCGAGACATAGATAAGGAACCAACAGGACTAGCCGAAGGAGCGAAGACGGTTGGAAGCGTTCGGAGGATATGAAGCGCTGTTGAAGGCAATATTGCAGTCGTGTGAGCGCAAGACAAAAAAGACTTGAAGACGCAATAAATGTACAGATGAGACATGAAACAGAAAGAGAAGGAGGAAAAAAGGAAGACACAGAGAGAAGCAGAGAGAGAAAGCTGTCAAAGGAAGCTGTCTAGATTTAGACGCCGAGGGGAGCATGGTGGGGTTGGTGGGGTTGCTATGTACGATAATGGCATCGCAGCTTGTCACTGTACTTGATAGATGCATATACCCACTTCACTATCTGTAATACCTCTTTTCTCAGTCCCCCGGCATTTCGGCCGATCCCCTGCGACTGGAAGCTCCCACTTATAAACCGGCCAGCCCTCACCGGGACACACCACTTTCCAGATTCCTTCGGGTATTTCGTTCCTCTGACTGTGTATATAACCTGTTGTTCAGTCTGTAAGCTCCCCCTGAGCCCCTGAGCTCATACCCCCCTTTCACTTTCCATTTCTAACATACCATAGGCACTCTTCATTCTCTCTCACCCACACTCTCTGGATCGAGGGGTAAAAGTCATGTTTTCCCTCACAGAAGCAACCGCAATCTTCTGGGCCCTCGTAGGCCCCTGGATGTTCCTCCTAAACGCCTTCTCCTACCTTCCCCCTACCATCCTCCGCCTCTTCCGCGAAGGCGACTACGCCGCCCTCACGACCCCGTCTCGCGTCCAAGACGCCTGGTTCTCCGCCTTTTGGGCCTGGCTCGGCCCCAACATCCGCGTGGGCAGGTCGGACATGATGGTCGCCCTCCTCGAGGGCCGCGTCACGGACGGTAAAGTCGTAGAGGAGCCCGTCCACCCGCCCGTCAGTGGCGTCGTGCTGGAGATCGGGCCCGGGTCCGGGATGTGGGTAGACATCTTCGCCAAAGGCCGCGACGGCGACGAGAAGAAGAAGGCCGCCGACGCAGCGGCTGGTATGGCGCGCGGCGGCGTCAGGAGGCGCGTCGCAGACGGCGTGACGAGGGTCTACGGCATCGAGCCCAATACCGAGGCGCACCCCGCACTAAGGAAGAACGTTCAGGCTGCCGGACTTGAGGGGACCTACGAGATCGTCCCCACCGGCATCGAATCTCTCTCCGACCCGACGGCGTGGAATGGCAAGATTGAAAAGGGCAGCGTCGACTGCATTGTCTCCATTCTCTGCCTCTGCAGCATCCCCGAGCCCGAGAAAAACATTGCCGAGCTCTACTCCTATCTCAAGAAAGGGGGCAGGTGGTATTTGTACGAACACGTCGAGGTGATGCAGAGCCGGCCCATCCGTCTCTATCAGCGTAAGTCAACCACAAGGGGCGCGACTGAACGGGTCGACATCGATGCTAATCATGTTAGGTATCGTCAATCTGGTTTGGCCGCGGGCCTTGAACGGCTGCCAGCTGTGCCGCAACACTGGCAACAACCTTAAGTCTGCAGGGCCTTGGACAAATATTGACATCCGCCAACCCCATGATGAGACATGGTTCCAAGTAGTACCACACATTTTCGGAACTTTTACCAAGTGATTCATCGAACAGGCAAGGCGACCAGGCGTTAGCCCAGCCATCCAATTACTAGTCCACGATCCAATGGGTCAACCTATAGTGCTATTATTTTTGCTACCGGTCGGAGGTTTGGTCGCGTCACAATTGCATTTGAGGTGCATTCATTCATGTTGGGCGTAAGCGATGCTCTTATTAATTGACTTAGGTAGCTAGCTATACTGCTCATCCCCAGTCACCATTCGTAGTCATTCAACCGGTCGCTCATGATTAATGTACCCTGGATCACAGAGGCTTCCACCAACCGATGCAACATTGTGGTTTGTGTAGTGCGTACACCAATCGCCCTCTTGTCCATTGATCGTATCGTCGAACTCCAGCAAACCCTTGGATACCCTTCATATTAAGTTCCTGTGGTCTAGCTCGATGCACCGGATGCATCAAAACGAGTAATGATGTCTCCAAGTGTTCGAAGCAGATTGTGTTCGTCTGACGGAGAGAGACGGAAGTAAATGGATAGACCAGCTCGAAGCAGTCTCCAAGTACCGTCAAGGCCGAGCGTTCCCAAGTCCGTTCTAATAGCGTCAATCAGATCCTCCAGTTTGTAAGGCGAGGCGACGAAGATGTCGTAGATATCCTCAGCTCCTTCTGTAAGGGTCTGGACATCCGCTGGGGTGATCCTGGCAAGGTAATACTGGAACGCATTGGTGAGTTCCTGTAAGTCCGCATTGCCCTTCAATATCGAATCAACAACTCTCATAACTGAGGGAATGTGATCGCACAAGGGACTGCAGAGCTCCTCGCAGATGAACTCCAGAGTAGCTGAACGAAGGGCATTGTCGATAACACTAAGACTGCCTTGGCTGTCTGAATGCCCTATGCGGGTGGGGGCGCCGTGGCTGGTCTCGGAAGATTTCGGCAAAGCTGGGCGACTGTAGTCCTCCAGACCATGGCCGGTGAAGAAAGCTGTGGCTAGCCTTGAGACGTCGGCAATGACTTCCATGGAAGATAAGACGACCTCCATGACAGGAGGGATGAAGGGACACGTGGGGGGATACCTCGTGCAGACGTGTTCCAGGGCGTTTTGAATTACTAGGACGGTCTTTGGTGGCATTATTGCGGAAATATCGGAATGTTGACACCGACCAAGGAGATTACACCAAATGAAGCCAATGGCGTCGTTGAATGCGTTGTCTGAATGAATTGTCTTTGGATTCAGAGTCCACGGCAGATAGGGGCATTTGTCTGACTCGGGATGGTCTCGACACCATCTCAAATACTGGTGCCAAGCAGGGAGAAAAGGCTTGCCTCCTGTGCACCGGCTTCCGTCGTATACCGTAGTGGGAGAGGGAGAGGGCGAGCTGGAGAGGCCGTATTTGGGACTTAAGCGCCATGGACAGAAGGTAGCTTTGTGACACTCAGGATCCGTAGTGTGATGAGAGCACCAAGCGCACTGGGCTTTCACCTTTTCCAAGCATACGGCTCTCAACAGAGAGGTACACGGCGTCATTCCAGGGCGTACTGATGTCTTGGTGTAATCGACGGCTGGTGGTTGGCGAATGGTCAGGTCAAATTTGGTCTTGGGAGATTCGGCAGAGCAATGGAGATTGCTGACTGTATCGTCGAAGACACAATTGTTCCCTTGGCTATCTTGGACGACTTTCGTAACATGATTGTGGCAGAAGCCATTGGCTAGTTGCCCGTCGACAGGTTCATCGACCAGAGATATATCAAACTCGCCGAAATGAGAGTCGAAAGTACCAAGGGTGAAACAAAGACGACCATCGTTCTTCTGATCGACTTTGGTGCCTTGAAGGTTGATGCTGAAGATGCCTCCGGGAATAGCCTGATCCAGTGGTACAGAAGGAGAGACTGCGGTGACGAGTGAAGCTGAGCCAAGCAGCAGCGGGGATGTAGCGAAAGTAGTGAACTTCATGATGGATATTGTTGACGATGGGGACTCCAAAAAAGAAACGATAGAATGAATGGGTATTGATCGTATTGAGGTTGGGATGGATGGTAGACGGAGGTGATGTTGTCTTGGGGGAGGGAGATGATGTGGGAGGAGTCGAGATCTGGTTGAACACAAGTTCCCGGGTACATCAACAGCCTGTTTTGCGGCAGCTACATTTTGGAAAGAAGTTTCCGCTGCGAATTGAGTGTCACTTCCTCCAATAAAACTATTGGCGAAGAAGGGAAGGGGTGGTTGGAGATTCGCTTTCCCAAGAAAGGGGCCGGGATGGCTCTCCTGCCAAGTCGGTAAGAATGGCTTCCTGTCTTCTAGAAAGTAGGAAGGAGCCATGCGTTCATCAGCAAGACACCCTCGGGTACCCGATGAACATTCTAAAAAGCGAACGAAAGAAGTTGCAGGAATACGGAAGAGGGTATCAATCGCCTTGGGAAAGTAACACCGCTCGTACCATTGGCCGCCAGGATACTCTTCTGAGCATCGTCAATTTAGAATTCGAGATTAAATCCACATTCATCTCTGTTTGTCCGCCCTCAATAGAGAATACTATACCGACTAGAATACGTGTCAGGCGACGACGTCTTGAACATAAGGAAGTTTGCTACTATCGGCACTTTGGCCTGGTCAACTACCATTGCTAGGCATCTCAAGATCACCTCCAGGGTCAAACAAGCACTTCTCTGAATGATCAACTACCTCGATTTGAACTGGAGGCCACGAAAATCACATGCTTTCCCAAAAGTGGCGATTCTTAGAGCGATATATTTCATGCAGCTGCCTTAGTTACCAAAGGCTTAGCGCCAACTCTTGTTGCCTCCTCGTTGAGAGCATCAATCTCGGCCTGTACCAATGGTATGCCTGTCTTTTCCCGTTCCTGCTGTTGCAACTGCTCAATCTCACCCGGAAAGTATATCCTGTCTACTCCTGCCGCCTTGTCTGATCCAACGACACGCTGGTACAAGTAGTCCATTCTTTCGCGGAAGTCGTCCAGACTCATGAAGAGGTCTGGCTTGATGGCGACTAGGAAGTGGCCGACGTCCGCTGGTTTTGAAGGGTCGTACGGGTTAGTGACGTGACCAGCGAAAGCAGAGCCAGAGAAGACACCGGAGAACACATCCATCATGATGGCTAATGCCGAACCCTTGGGGCCACCCATCGGCAGCATGACACCTCCCAATGCTGCGGTGGGATCATCCGTAGGACGTCCCTCAGCATCCAGCGCCCAGTCAAGGGGAATCTTTTCGCCGCGTCTCTTGGCCTTGTAAATCTTGCCCCTGGCCGCGACTGACGGGGCCATGTCCAGGATGAAAGGCTTGTCCTTCCCCGGCGCGCCACAAGCAATCGGCGAGACACCCATGAGCTTGCTCTGCCCGCCCCACGCCGGGAGCGCAGGACTCGAGTTGGTGAAGACCAGACTCATCATGTCCGCATCAAGAGCCTGCTGCACCACCCACGCACTCATGCCAAAGTGGTTGGAATGCGACACACTTGCCATGCCGATGCCGAAAGTCTTGGCAGACTCGATGGCAGCTGCCATGCCCATCTCTGCCGCAACGAAGCCAAAGCCGTTTTTGCCGTCGACGTGCGCCACAACGGGTGTGACTTGCTTCAGCTCGGGCTGGGCTGTGGCGTTGAGCACACCCTGGCGGACACGCTCCATGTAGGAAGGAATGCGGTTCATGCCGTGAGTATCGACACCGCGAAGGTCGGCAGCGACGAGGCACCGGGCGACTATCTTCGAATTTTCTTCGGGAACGCCATTGCCTTTGAGGATGTCTTCAACGAGACGGCGGGCCTCCGACGCGGCCACTGGTATCTTTTGGGACTCGTCGGCCATCTTGCTGAATGGCTGTGCGGAATTTGAGGCGCAGAATTGCGGAAGACGTGCCGTGCAAGGTTAGGAGATGATGTGGAGTATTGCACGGCAATATCTGTCGTATGAATGGCTACAGGGTTGATTGGATACGAGGCGCGATTTTCGAACCTAGCATGGCCTCTCTTGATATACCAATGCAAGTGAATGGCGTCGCGAGGAAGAGAGCAGTGAAGCACACGCATCCGGACGGAATTCAGCCGATGGCGCGGGCAAACCCCGGCACAGCAAACTAAGGGAACAATGGATCTGACGCCACGGGGTTTCCCCGCACGGCCTGGGGCCACCACCGTCAACCAACTTCATCCTCTGTTCCGCCTCGGAGAATTCCCGCCTCGTTCCCTTCAACCTACCCAAACACCACATCGCTCTCCTAACGTTATGACGGAAACCAGCCAAGCACTGGCTGCCCCGAAAAACGCAATATGCCCGAAGATACCAGCTCCCGGCCGACACCCCGTCAGGCCCGCAGAACCGCGCGATTGAGGCTCGCTTGCTCTCGGTGCCAGCGGCGGAAGATCCGTGTAAGTGGGCCTCCGAACCTCAATTGAAGATGGCATGGTACTAAGTGGGTGTCTGATAGTGCGACGGGCAATTGCCTGCGTGCAACAATTGCAAAAAGGCCGGAGTTGCTTGCACCGACGGCGAAAGCGTCCGTCTTCGGGATCTTCCTAGAGCGTATGGCTGTTCTCAAAGTTCCCACCTTCGCACATGTTTCTGACATTCAGCTAGTCAAATTTCGAACTTGATCGAGAGAGTCAAGTGGCTTGAGAGCATTGTAAAGGAAAGATGTCCCGACGTCGACCTCAGTCAAGGTCCGTCTGGAGACTTTGACATGGAACTTGATGGTGATGAAACCTTTGCAAGGGACTCAACGATCAGAGTCAGCAGTGCATCGCCCGAGGATAGTCTGAACCTCACAGGGAGTCAGCCTCCACAAGCACAGCCGCGTCAACCCTCGGAGCCAGTGCAAGCCACTCAGGCTATCCGTTCAGTCCCTCGTTTGGTCGATCCTATTGCCAGCAGTACACTATCACACGAGATCGGGATGGTGTCATTGGGTAGTAGCCAGGACCCGAAGTACATCGGGCCCTCGAGCGGATACTTCCTTGCCCGACTGATGTTGACCTCGAGCCGACAGGATGACCAATCTTGGCCAATCAGAACCGGAGTATCAAACCCGTCCATACCAACTGCTCTCGTTGAGGCCATGCATGGCCCAATGTCACTGCCTAGCAGACATCATGCGAAGCAGCTAGCGGATAACTACTTTGACGTTATCAACTGCCAGTTCCCCGTTTTGCATCAGCCTAGCTTTATGGCTTTGATGGATCAAATGTACGATAACAGGGTCGACGTGGAATCTACTCCGACAGCGACCTTCCAAGTTTTTATGGTCCTCGCTCTGGGGTCCACGGTGCTCTCTCGTCGAGTGAGGGCACGTCTTCCCGGAGAGTCATATTGCCTGTCTGCGATGCATAGTTTCGATCGGATCAGCATCGACAGCTCAATTCCGGGGCTGCAATGTCTTCTTTTACTCACGATATTCACAATGCACAGTTCCAACATGCGTCTCAACGTATGGTATCTGAACTATCAGTGCATCGCTGCTGTCCTTGACTTGGGCTTGCAGCGTGACATCAACACTAACGCAGGTATCTCTCTTCTTGAACAGGAAATGAGGACTAGGATATTCTGGGTGGTTTTTACTTTGGACAGGATGATCGCAACTATGATGGGTCGCCCGATTGGACTGCGAGACGAGGCATGCGATCTTCGGGTATGTCCGCCCCAGTATATGGTCCTTCCGCCAACCCACCCTAACAGTCTTTTAGCTTCCACAGCATCTAGAAGATGCTTCCTTGCGAGGATCTCTCCAGCCACCTGCCAATCAACCCCCGGGTCACATGGCCTTCTCTATACATCTGTTCCGTCTAGCAAAACTTAACTCGGAGTTCAAATACGTTGCGAACAGCATTGTCCGAGACACACCACGTTACGCCTACCCGGCGGTAATTGACATAAATGAGTGGCAGCAAGGAATGTTGGAACAGCTAGACGAGTGGTACAGCCAAATCCCCAACACACCCGACACCGACTACATCCGCACCATCTGTAAGATCCGATGCTACGGTCTGCGGATGCTCGTTCTCCGGCCTAGCCCCGCCATCCCGAATCCGTCGCCCGAGATCCTCAAGAAATGCTTCAAAGCCGCTCTTGAGGTCATCCGCCTTTTTGATCAGCTGTACAAGAAGAACTTACTCATACATACGTGGAATACTTGTCACTCAGCAGTCCTCAGCATCATCACTATGCTTTACTGTCTGAAGATGGTGCCCGAGATAGCAAAGCAGACGGCTTTGGATGCCCTCATGTCTGACTTCAGCGCCGGGTTAGGAGTCTTGGCCGCAACGGGCGAGCACTGGTCCGGAGCAAAACGTTGCCGCGATATCTTGGATGACATGATCCGGGCAACCATCCGATGGGTCAAAGACATTTCTAGTCAGACCATCGATGTGGAGCCCCCTGCTCAACGTCGATCTCTGCGACTAGATCCCGCGCATTCGCATACAATGAGCTCGTACAACGAGGGTGCCAGCCTCGTTGGGGCGGAACCTCACAGACTGAACTTCTCAGAAGGCTTTGTCCAACCACTGCCATTGAGCTCTGCGACTGAAAGTGGTTCGGAAAGCTTCCTTCATCAAGATCCATTCGAATCGTTTCTCGCCAACACTGCGTTTGGCGACCCAATGCACACCGGCGACAACGCGAATCTGGATAGCATCATGCGAGGCCTGTTTGATGACTTTATACCAACTTACCCGAGCTTCACCTGATATCCAGTACTGTTTATGAGCATGTATTATACAAGAGTCAATTAGATCTTCGTTTGTAAGACTATTGGGGTGGGCCATTGGCCGTAAGGAAGTCAAAATCGGCTCCTCCTTCTGCCTGCATGACGGAACGCAGATATAGTCCTCGATAACCGCGAATTCTCTTCTTTGCCACCCAAGGCGCATTGCTGCCGCCACTTTCCTCTTCCTTGGCCAAGGCTTCCTTTTTCTCGACGATTCTCTTCTTAATCTCCTCATCCGATATCTCGACTTTGATGAGACGTTGTTCCACGTCGCACGTTATGATGTCGCCAGTTTTGACGATACCAAGAACCGATTCGGGGTCCGCCGCTTCGGGAGAAATATGCAGAACGATAGTCCCGCCCGCCGTACCGCTCATACGGCCGTCAGACAGGCGGAGCATGTCCTCGACTCCCTGAGATGCGAGCTTTCGGGGGATCGGGATGAGTCCCGCTTCTGGCATACCTGGATTGCCGACAGGCCCGATATTTTGGAGTACGAGCACGCTATCGGGCGTGACCTCGAGATCGGGGTCATCGATACGAAGGGCCATATCTGCGGAGCCAGCGAAGACGACTGCTGGGCCAGAATGCTTCAGTAGTCGGCGATATTTCGACGCACTCTGCTTCGTAACAGCCCCGCCTGGGGCAATGTTGCCACGGAGCACAGCCAAAGCCGAAGCTGGGTACAGAGGATCGTTGAAAGGCTGAAGACAGTTGACCAAGCTATCCCGGGGAATAGGGGTGAACGGCGTACTCTCCAACTCTTCTCCCAGCGTCTTGCCTGTTACTGTCATGGCGTTCAGATGCAAAAGGGGCTTGAGTTGGTGCAAAAGCGCCAGCATGCCGCCGGAATTGTGGAAATCGTCCATGTAGTTCTGTCCGCTGGGCTTCAGGTCAACTAATAACGGTGTCTTTCTTCCGATTTCATCAAATGTGTCGAGCGTGATTGTGCCAGCTACAGCAGGGTGACGACCTATGATGGCCATCATGTGTACAACAGCGTTGGTCGACCCGCCAATGGCCTGCAAGACGGTGATCGCATTCAGAAAAGACTCGCGAGTGAGCAAATCTTGCGGTTTGAGCTTCTTCTGATGAAGGGCCACAGCGAGGCCTCCAGTCTGTTCGGCAATACGTAGTCTTGTTGATGAGACCGCTGGAGCTGTGGCACCCTTAAACGGCATCATTCCCAGACCGACAAGGATACAAGCCATGGTCGATGCGGTACCCATAACACCACAGGTGCCTCCCTATCGCGACGATCAGCTTATGAGACTCTCTTCCGAGTGACGGAATACACCTACCGTCGGTGCCAGCTCGTCATTGATAGCCGAGATGTCCTCAATATCAATTTTGCCAGCTCTGTAGGCGGCCCAGTTGTTGCGGCAATCTGTGCACGCTCCAATTCTCACACCTTTGTGGCTTCCCGGCATCATGGGGCCAGTGACCAGGTGCAGGATAGGCTTGTTCGCCGATATGCCACCCATCAATTGAGCAGGAGTGGTCTTATCACAGCCTGTCCAAATCAGTCAGCACTCATCTCATCTTCCAACCTAGTTTGATACAGCTCACGTACCTCCGATGAGGACCACAGCATCACACGGCTGCGCCTTGATCATCTCCTCCGTATCCATACTCATGAGATTCCGCAGATACATGCTTGTAGGCGACGCAAAGCTCTCATGGATACTGATAGTTGGGAAATCAATCGCAAGCCCACCATTGAGTTGGACGCCGCGTTTCACGGCCTCGATCAGCTGTGGGACGTTTGCATGGCACGGGTTGAAGCTTGAGTAGGTGTTGACGATGCCAATAATGGGCCTCGAGAGCGCATCTTCACTGTACCCGAGAGCCTTGATAAACACCTTGCGCAGAAACAGCGAGAAGTGAGCGTCGCCATAGGATGTAAGGCCCTGCCTCAACCCCGGGGCGTTGGGGTCAATTGGTGTCGAGAGGTCATAGTCCCCCGTCACCGGGGCCTTGCCATCTTCCTTCTGTGGGATTGCTGCTTGATCGCTCATGTCTGCTGTAGTTTTGAGTTCTTTGAGTGTAAAGAGACACCTAGAAAGAACGATGTAATGCGACGGCGGGAATTACAATTCCTCATCTTATGGTTGGTCCGAATCAGACTTATCCGGAGTCCTGTTGTAGATGCGGGGACTCCGCATGTCGTAATCGCCCGGTCCAATTCGGTAATAAGACGACGGGAGCAAAGCGGCCGCATCGTCTTCAGCACCGTCGGGATTTCTCCGTCTAAGTGCTCGCGGACAATGGAACTGCCGACGGACAGGTCCTCATAGGACCTTGAGATATGCCTGATGCATAGAACATGTAAGCAAATGCATCATTGCTACTTATATCCAGCTTCAAGATGACCTCTTGTTCGGTATCTCAGCACATTCGCCGAAGGCATCTCGCCGCAGCTTGAACATCACCGCCCGCTTTTCCGCTCCAGCAAAACCTTTTCCGCTGCCCCAAAATCCATCCATCGCCATGCTCAACCTCCGAGGAAAAGTCGCCCTGGTCATCGGCCTCGGCCAATCAGGCACAGACGGCTGGGGCATCGGCGCCGCCTGCGCCGTGACCTTCGCCGCGCAAGGCGCCGCAATCTTCGGCGGCAACCGCACCGTCGAATCCACCACCAAGACCAAGACCGCCATCGAAGAAGCCGGCGGCGTGTGCGACGTCGTCGCGACCGACGCCACGTCCTCCGCGTCCGTCAAGGCGCTCGTGGACGCGTGCGTCGCGAAGCACGGCCGCGTCGATATCCTGCTCGCCAACGTTGGCGGGTCGCAACCGGGTTGTGCGGCGAGTATGGGAGAAGAGACGTGGGATGCGCAGGTGGAGTTGAATCTGAAGAGCGTGTACCTCGCGTGTCACCATGTTCTGCCTGTTATGGAGGCGCAGGTAGGGGGAGGGAGTATTGTTTGTGTGTCGAGTATTGCGGGCTTGCGGTATATCGGTAAGCCGCAGGTTGCGTATAACGCGACCAAGGCGGCTGTGATGCAGTTTGTCAAGGCGACGGCTGTGGTGTATGCGAAGCGAGGGGTGCGGTTGAATACGGTTGTGCCTGGGTTGATGGAGACGCCTTATACGAGGCAGTTGGCGGATAGGTTTGCGCCCAAGGACGGGCAACCTGGTGGCGGCGGCGGGTATGAGGCATTCAAGAGAATGAGGGAGGAACAAGTGCCGATGGGACGGATGGGGGATGCATGGGATGTTGCGAATGCCGCGGCGTTTTTGGCGTCTGACGAGGCGAGGTATATCACGGGCCAGAAGATTGTTGTTGATGGGGGAATTACTTCGTCTACGGGGCGTACTTAGAGTTACAATTGTCTTATTATGTATAAGTACCGTATCATTTGAGGCCTTGTCACGCAGGGTCGAGAAGTCGTTTCTGCGGCCTGAGGGAGTAGTTTTAAGGCCGAAGTCAAAGATGGCAATACGGGTCAGCGTAAAGATACCACTTTACGCACCTGTACAACAGAAGTTAATATCCATTTGATGGTATTGAAGAGAATCTTATGCTTGAGCCTGGATTTCTAACAAGTCTATATTCTAATTACAACATCCGACCTGTGCCTGGAGGCCAGTCCTCTCAGCCTACGCCGACCCGTTCGCCAGCCGTTTGGCCATAAACTCGCACATATACTCGTCCTCCTGATCAACCTCAAAGTCAAATCTGGTCACATCCTCCTTGAAAGGCCACAAGTATGTGCTCGTTACCCTAGAATCTTGCTCAGCTTTCATGTTCCATTCGTGGCTTTCTTGTTGAAGACGAAAGGCGAGGTGGGTGAGTGAGCTGCTTCTTACCTGTGATGCTCCGGACTAGCTTGATACGCCTCCAGTGCTTCTCGGTCTTGATGGAAGCTCAGCAGCGCAAAGTGGTAGCCTTTGCTCCTCTCGATGGGGTCCGTGATGGAGGGCCCGCCGACGATGAGGCGTTGGTCTTTGACGCAGGGCAGGGATTTGAGGGTCTTGAGTTCGCGGACGAATGTGGATTTGTGGTCTTCCGAGACGTCGGGACGGAACTTGAATAATACTTTTCAAGGGTTAAGATCAGAATTTGTCTTGAAGGTGTGATGTGTGAGAGGGTGAGTATTGGCGGTTACCTATGTGGACTATCGTCATTGTGGATATGTTGCGAGTGAACGAAGTAGGCTAAGTCCTTAATTTCTTCTTTGCTGAAAAAGCAGATATCGTCTTCGAAAATAGGGAGTAAAAGCCGTGATACTGAAATCTTTGGATATCTAATAATTCAGTCAACGGTCCTGTGGTTGAATCAATTCCCGACTGAGTTGTGTTGTGCCCGGTGGGAGGACACTAACGGGCGAATCCCGCGACCTGAGCCCACAGGCTCCACGTACTGAACGGACGAACCCCGTCGCAGCGGCTGTGTGGACGGGCCTCCACTCCGTGTAAGTCATTCATCTGACTACATGGAAATGCTAAATTGTGTACCAAAAAAGGACCGAAGAATCAGAATTTGGTAGCCAAAATAGGTTGAATTCCACTTCGGTATGTTAGGCGAGGAAAGATCCATGAAGATGGGCACTTTCGCCGCGTCCTCATGCAGCCCCGGATCATGGAAAAACCATCTCCCTTAGGGCCCTACGAAGTAGTGTCATTGTTTACGCCTCAAAGCGTTTCAACTGGCCATTCCATCAATCATTCACTCCTTCCTCTGAGACTGCACAGAACCATACAAGTCCAACAACCTCCCAAGTCGAGGGGAAAACCTACACCTTGGTGTCCTTCTCACTAGAGACCTCGACATGCATCATATCGTCTCCTTTGATGTCCTGAACGCTGCCTGAGTCCGTCTCGGTCGTCTTGTACTTTCCCTTTTTGATATCGCGACGCCATAGGTACTGTCCAAGCATGAAGAGAGTCCACCAGATGGCCACGAAAGTGGTGTTGACAGTGAACCCTTTCCGCCATTTGGGAGCTAGATGGGGGAGGTTAGAATATCAGCATGATTTTATCCAATTGCTTGGATATGGCGATGGTGTCTAGTCACTTACCCTCTAGCTTTGGGAAGACCGTGATTGGGTAGAAGCTGAAGAAAATCCAACCGCAAGTCATCTGAGCACGGATAGTGTTAGCAGGGAGTTCTGACAATGGTGAGAACAAGGATACTGTGGCTATTTTACCATTGCGCCGGTTGTGAAAGCTCTGGCTTCGTTGTCGTCTTTCATAATCATGTTGATCCAAGGGAAGAAGATTGGTGTGAACTTTGAGAGAGTAAGCAATCATAATCGTGTTGTTTTACAGACGAGCAATACTTACGCAACTGGTGAGGCCAAGCATGTAGTAGGCGGCAACTGCGTTTCAATGAGTAAAGATGCCCTCACGTTGCATCCATATGATACTTACAGTGCAGCCCAGTCGGGATGTCCCAGATCAGGAGACAGACGTTGGCGAAGAAGAGAACACCCGCTACGACGCACATGACGGCCCAGATGGGGTAGATCATACACAGCGAAGTGGCAACGACGCCGGCCACGATGGAGATTGCTTGGACGCCGGTGGGGATGACGTTGATCTCAGCAACGGTGTAGGTGCCGTGCAGGGTGGCTTCGTGCTTGAGCCAAAGCGCCATCTGGCCAGCGACATAGGATGTGCATTGGAAGCTGAAGGGGTGAATGGCGTCAGCTTTCATATAGAGTCTGAACAAAATTGTTGCCTGCAAACTCACAAAACATAGGTGAAGACGGCGAGGTAGAAGTGCCAATGAGTAAAGACGCGCTTCAGCATCCTCTTTCCAATCCTCTTGCTCTCCTTGACCCCATCATCTCTCATCCGCGCCTGAGCAAGCTTCTGCTCCGCATCCGTGAGCCACCAGACCTTGGGACTCGTCGGCAGACCAGGGAAGAGGAAGAACCCCGCAATCGAGATGGGCAAGCTGATGATGCCATCAATGATAAATAGCCACCGCCAGCCAGCCATGCCGGCGACGCCGTTTAGGTTGTTGTACGCCGCGGCTTGGAGGTACCCGCCAAACATGGCGCCAATGTTGGACGAGACGTACCACACGCCCGCGCGCTTGAAGAGCTCGTCGCTGCGGTACCACGAGGTTAGGAGATAGATCGCGCCCGTGGCGGCCGGAGTCTCGAGAACGCCGAGGAGGAAGCGGATGCCGTAAATGTCGTATTCGTTGCGGAGCTTGCATTGGACGAAGGTCGTGATGGACCAGAGGCATTCCATTGCGGGGAGGTACCAGCGGGTGAGGTGTGGGCGGGAGATGATCATCATGGAGGGGATCTCGAAGATGAGGTAGCCGATGTTGTAGAATGTTCCGAAGAGCGAGTATCTGGCAGGTCTTGTTAGATACTAGCAGACTCGGGTACGGTCATTGCGACTGGGGGCTCGCTTACTGGTTTCCTGTAAGTTTCAGATCCTCTTCCATGCCTGAGACGTAGGCGTGGTTAATATTGGCTGAGTCGAGCCATTTCAAGAAGACTGGTCTCATGTCAGTGTTTACATGAACAGACGGGTAATCGGCAAAGTCATACACATTAAACAGCACAGGGAAAGAAGAATGCTATCTGTTCAGAACCGTCATTAGCTTATACTCAAACATATGGATGAGTGAAACTGTACCAAGCTTCCGAAGCAACTTCTTCTCTTCCTTAGAGTAGTGGCTGGGGTACCAATCGAAGATATAGAGCCAAGCGACCCACAATGATCTCGTCTGTGGCTTGGGTGTCGAAGAGCTTACAACCAACTCTTGGTCGTCGAGAGGCTTCGTCGTGGCAACTGGATTCGCATTTTGAGCAGTCCTGTCGAGACTGACTCTATCCGCCATGGTGGACTGTAATCAGATCCCTGTGAGATTGAGAGGCAGTCCAGGCTGTAAATCGTTGCTGAGGTTAAGAATGGCGAGTGAAGAAGTCCAGTCTCTCTGAGGATCTCAACTGTTCAAGTGAAGTTCTTGGTGATGTAACCCCACACTTTATATCACTTCGAAATAAGCCATCATTCTCAGAGACATGGCATCTATGTTGACAGGCTGGAGTAATCCGCCGACGGTAGCAAAGGCCAAGCAATATTGTCTTTGATGTCTCCCCCGCAATCCCTACCCCAGTTTACCCATGCCCGACTCTAAGAATGGGGTGTGGAGAAGTTCCTTTCGGTCGACCGCCCTACTTGGCCAACGACACTTGCTCGGAGGATTGTCCTCGGGGATGAGGGGCATCAATACCCCGACTGTTGCGTCGCACATGGGCGGTCCAACACAGGATGTATCGCGAGGATCTTTCACCGAGACATCAGCCGCGGGACCGATTCAATGGAATAGACGCCTTCGCTTCCGACGGGCCGTTGATGTTGATGGTTTGCATCAAGGTCTCGGTGATCATCAATCATGTGATGGCTCGGGTTTCTGAAAGATGTACAAAATGACAACTTCGGTATCTGCCACGTCTATACTAGGACCAAAACATCATTTGGGGCCCCAACTTCTGAGCTCGAAGCAAAGAAGTATCCAGCATGGCCGCTTCTGTTACGGAAAGCTTGCCAGCCATGGCAAAGCACGCCCAATCTCAGGACGGCACTGTCAACAGGTCGTCTACGGTTCCGCGTCACGACAGCATGTCTTCCGAACCGCCTCTCTCAATATCATCTCTGCCACCAGAAGAGCTGTCTGCAGACATCACCAGTGAAACCTCATGGTCTGACGCCGCGGTAGAAGTAAGCCAAAGGCCAGCCTTTCAACCATCCACATCGCTCTCTACCTACCTCGCCGAACTGTTCGAAGAGAATGTCACAGCCAAAATCTGCCGCACTGCGACCAAGTCTCTCCAAGAGCAAGCCTCCTCAGCCTCCGGCGAGATACGGAAGATCCCGATCGCCTTCCCAGAGATCGTACCCCAGGACGGCCCCAATGCGGGCCAGTACGAGTTTCGCGACCCAGACTTCTGGACCTGCGGGTTCTTCCCGGGAACGCTGTATGCCCTACTGGAACGAAGCGTCAAGCACCCGTGGACAATGAGACTCGCTGATGCTAGCCCCGGGCTCAGTGTCCCCAGTCTCCGCCAGCATCTGCGGGGACTATGCAAGATCTGGGCCGATCCCTTACACGACATGGCCGGACGGACGGACACACACGATATCGGCTTCATCATTATGCCAGCGCTTCAGAGGGACTGGGAGCTGAATGGTAACGAGAAAAGTCTCGCTTCCATCGTCAAGGCTGCGCATTCTCTTGCCACTCGTTATGTCCCCGCTGCTGGAGCTATCCGCAGCTGGGACTGTCTCTTGAAGAAGGACATCACTGTGACGGACATGACTACGAATCTCCTCGCCATCGTTGATAGTCTGTGTAATCTTGACCTCCTGTTTTACGCCTCGGCACACACGGGCGATAGTAGCCTCGCCGAGATCGCCACCACGCACGCCCGTACGCTGTTACACACTCACCTCCGTCCTGAAGCCGTGAGCACGCTGGAGAAGAATGGATATAGAGGTCAGCTCTATTCAACATGTCACGTTGCCAACATCGATCCGGTCACCGGTGATCTCAAGTGGCGCTGGACGGCACAGGGATACGCAAACGATTCCACGTGGGCTCGTGGCCAGGCGTGGGCGATCCTGGGGTATGCTCAGACCTACCAGTGGACTCGAGACAGAGCTTTCCTCGAGGCTGCCTTGGGCGCTGCGGAGTACTTTCTGTACCGGCTCGACACGGCGCCGTCGTGTGTGGATACACTGGTGGCTGACGAGGAGACGAACCGTTGTTCTCGATATGGGCAGCGAAAGAAGACAAAAGGCCGAAGGGTTCCTCTTTGGGACTTTGATGCCCCGATACAAAACGCCGCAGAGCCTCTGCGAGATTCATCAGCCGGGGTAATTGCTGCTAACGGCATGTTGGTCCTGTCACAGGCACTCAGAGGCATTCAGGAACATGCTTTGGCGCAGCGCTTCTTCGATGCGGCGGTCAAGATCGTCCGAGACACCCTCGACTACTCTCTCGCAGATGAAAAGGCTCAGTTCGCCAGAATTAGCAGCGAGACGGGGTTCGAAGTCCACGACTCCATCGGTGGCCGCCGTTTCGACGGCATCATCAAGCACGGGACGGCCAATAATAACGAGAATGCTAGACGAAGATACTGGAATCATGGCCTTGTTTACGGGGATTACTATCTTGTTGAGTTTGGAAATAGGCTGTTGAATATGGGATTGGCGTAGAGTGTTAGTGCCGTTTCCCGATTATAGACCTGGCTTACTTTAAATCAATAGAGACTCTTGCTTTTTACCATCCTCCACCATCGTATTCAGTTTCGAAAATGCCGTCATCATAGCTGATTATTCTATCCATGTCCATGAACTGTTGGTCGAGGAGCATCTGGGAAATGTTGCTCAAATCGCCACCACCGACGCTGCTTCTGTGGTACATGGAGGAATGCACCATTGGCTCAGCGCCATTGATGCCTAACCCTGGGGTTACGAGAATCGCGTTCTGCGTTGGATTGGTTAATGATGCCGGATTGTTGGATGGGAGTGGTTGTGCCACAACGATGGTGTCGAGGCTACTTGCAGCGGGCTCGACCTGTGTATCTGCGAGCCGCCTGTTTCTTCCATTGGTAGTGGTTCCTTCATGTCCCCCAGTCCCATTCTGTCTAATGTGAGAAGATAACGGAGGCTCTTGAGAAGCTGTGTGATCGATCTCTGTGGTGTAGCCTAGGACGTTGATGTTGAAAGATGCATCATCGCGGCAACGTATATGCATCTCTGTGAGCTTCCTCGAATACTTCCCAGGCAAATTGTCTCTCGCAGGCTCCAAGCTGTGCGGGCCAGCCCACCGGGTAGCCATATCGTTCATAATCTGTACTAGCGACCAGAACTCGGAAGCCAATTCAGTCCCAGGATCATAACGCCATCGAAGGAGTAGCACTCTGGCGGCCACGTAGATACAAAACACGAACTGGCTTGAGACAGGCATCGCAGCAGGCGCGTGCTTCAGGTAATTCTCCGCAATAATAGCAATCTCTACGGCCGCAGCCTGACACGTGTCCGCGCTCAGGATACTCGGCAGCCGGGCCCTGAAAGGCCACTCCCTCGGAGGGAAGGCAATCAGCTGATGGAGCAGAATCATGGACGTATTGTGCGTGACGTGCGCCAGCGTGAGGTTGGGATCCATCCGCGTCGACTGCCGCGCCATATTGGCCTTCCATTTCTGGGGCAGGAGCATCTTCCAGTGGACCAGACGCAGGTCGAGCTCCTTGAAGCGGGTAAGCCAGCTGCTGATGTCGCGCTAGTCCCTCATGTTGATCTTTTGCTGCAGGAAGTAGCTCGTGACCCTGCTGAGGGACTCGGTCGCCTCGATGCAGTAGGCGAAGGCGCCGACGGTGGACATGTCGACGTTGGCGGCCGGTGCCCCCGGTGACGTGCCGGCGTCGGAGGGCGTGTTGGTTTCTTCCTCTGAGGCACCTGCTTGCAATGTCGGCGCGTAGTGAGACGGGATGAAGGCGATGGGGTTTCCGATTCTGCCGGCGGCTTTGTCCCATATCCCGAAATAGGGTGTCACGACTTCGTCTTCTTTGCGCCAGAGGACGCCGTCGCAGGGGAGGCGACAGTGTACATCGTCTGAGGTGAGACTCGTGTTCCAGCCCATGGTGACTGAGATGAGTCTATCGAGCTTGAAGACGTTCCAGAAGACCCGGCGCCTCTCTTCGGCTTCGGTCCAGCTTTCTGGCGGAGCGAGTGAGACGAAAGGTTGAGATAATGATGGCCGGTCGACGTCGTCGTGTTCAACGGTGAGTTGAAGATACTCGACGGTCCGGGTCAGTGAACCAACCAGAGACCAGGCTTTGGCAGCCTCACCACTTCCAATCTAGCTATGTTAGCGCGTGCCATGTGAGAAGATTCGGATATTGAAACACCTACATCATTGAATGCGACAATGATGAGAGCTTGTTGGCTCTCCACGCTGAACGTTTTCATCGATGTTGACACGACCCAATCACGGGCGATTCTTCTTTGCTGGTGCGCTCCAAACAAGCTGGTCGCAACATCTTCGTCAGATATGTATCTTGACGCAGAAAGGACCATGGCATGTAATACTGCGAGCAAAAGTTTGGCTTCTCCTGGCTCGCGAAGTCGACGGCGGAATCTCGCCTCATGTATAATCGGAATCCATGGATGAATGTGTGCGAAATAAGCGTTGAGTACGATCTCAAGGTCCTCTTTATCTGGCAAGACAGGCGAAGTAGGGCTGGAATCGCCCGTGGAAGTACTGTTAGTAGGTTCGTGATCATCAAGTCGACGCCGCTTGGCTCGTACTTGCGACTCGGCCTCCGTACGCTCCTCAGCAAGTAAGCCTCCGCTTTTAGAGTTGAACTTATGTAGCTCTTTGGCAAAGAATGCCATGATGCTGTATGCATTATTCTCAAGACTGCTATTGATGCCGTTGGCATCGTCTTGACTGGGCGAGTGATTTGACTCGGATGGTCTGTGATCGCTTGATGTATTCTTGGTCCTTTGTTGGTGAACAGTTCTTTCTAACGCATCTGAGACCTTGTAATCAGTAAGAAGAAAACAAGGGCAACTCGGCATATCGAGACATACCCAGTCTCCGGTGTAGGTTCTCAATGGCCCCAGCCTTCATCCCCGGCTTAGACCGTTTCGACTGATAAATACAATCGCTTCCTACCACGAGTCAACTCCTGCGAAAGGAACGTGCATCATCCGTGGACTAAAGCAAGGGGCCCACCTGTCTTGCGGCACTGCTGACATGTTGGCACCTCTCGGGAACATCGCAGCTTCCGGCGCCGGCAACAGTTGCAAGCGAGAGCCGCCGCAGCTTCCGAGGCGCCCCCCGAGTCATCGTGGCCCGCATCGCCGGCTTCGCCCTGGTGGCTCGGCTCAGTACCATTATCCATGATCAGGCATTGGTGGGGTGCAGATCATGGCGCCAAGTGTAGGCTTTAGTTTCTGCGACTTACGCGTGAAGTAGAGCGGAGGCTGGCATAGTTATGGTTCCACGGCCAATAGCCCGCGTTGCCGCTCGATATAACCCGAAGACCGAGGCGGCCCCGCACCGTCTTCGCCCGCATTGCACATCGGCGGCTGCATGAGCTGGAGCCGTCCGGGGTTGCGGGGAGAAGGATGTAGGAGAACGATCAAAAAGGGGAATTTTTCTCCCTGAATAATGCTAGCATTTTTTCGGCCGAGCGCAATGTAACGTACAGGAATGAGTGACACGCGTCACTTCTTCCCATGTGGGCGATGACATCTGCGAGATTCCCGCTCAGTCGTAGAACCTCCACTGAGCTTCCGTATCCGGACTCAGGGGCTGGTTCAGGAGAAGCGCTCGAAGCAACTCGATTGGCATCGTGTTCGCCCTCAGGATCTTATCGTGGAGTTCCTTCTCGCCCATCAACCCCTTCGTCAGCACCTCCTCCCGCAATCCGTGCATTTGCAACGCCCCTAGCATATATCCGGCCTGGTACAACGGGGAGTAGTCGCCGCCGAACGATCTCGTGACTTCTCCCTCTGCGTTGGAACGTTCGTGACCGACCCAGTCAACCAGCAAGTCGACGCACTCTTGGGGCGTCATCTCGCCGAGGTGATACTTGAGGGAGAAGATGATTCTCGCGCATCGGTGCATCCTCCAGAAGAGGGTTCCAATCTTGTCTTCGGGGCTCACGAAGAAGTCGCCCCTGTTCCAGAAGACGAACTCCCAATACATGGCCCAACCCTCGACGAAGAAGGGCGTCGAAAAGAGCTCGCGGTACGGATGGTGGCGCTTGCCCATGAACAGCTGCAAACGATGGCCGGGTATTAACTCGTGGCTGCAGCCACGTTAGCAATGAACTTTTCTGGACGGAATCCAAGAGAAGAGACTTACAATGCCGTCGCCCGTGAGAAGTGAGGGTTGTTTCCGCGCATCACCATCATCTTGAGGTCGTGATCCATGGCGGCGGTGGGATACGAGACCCAGAATGAGGAGCCTCCAAGGAAGAATGGGGATTCCTTTTGACGTTCTGCGTCAATCATAAACATACGCCACGTTTCGCCTTGAGGAAGTCAGCTTGTTATCCTCGCCGAGAGGCGTACACAGAGAGACTTGCCCGCAATTTCTGGGACCGTGACTAGGTCATGCTTCTTCACAAAAGCCATGCCCTCATAGGCCAACTGCCGCACCATCTCAGGCTGTTGACCGGGCTCAACATATGAATTCTTGACATATTCCTGCGCGGCCTTCCAGTCGTCGCCAAAGCCAGTACCAGGAACCTCGAGACTAGAGCCGTGAGCGTCAGTTTCTGGACCGGAGCAAAGGGCCAGTCGGCTTTACATACCCCGATACGCTTCCATGACTCCCTCCCGGTCGAATGGAGCCCACCTTGATACTACGTGAAGCCTTCTTCATCTCCTTTTCGCACCAATCGTACTGTTCCTGCGCCAGCTTGAGAAGCTCCTCGGGCGTGTAGGGTATCATTTCCGCTTCGAGCTCAGTGATCAGCCCGGAGCGCCCGATGGGCTCTACTGCAGCACGGATAGACCCGGACCCGTTTTTCTCAGTAAGTTTGGTGTCTATCGCCGTCTTGATACCGGTGAGGGCCTCGTCCAGTTCCCTTTTGGGCGCGTCGCACCAGAAGGGGAATAGGGGGTCGTAGGGGGCGTAGAAGCTGTAGGTCTCATCCACATGGCCTCTGATTTGGTCAATGGTGTTCATAGCACGTGAGAAGGTCGAGTCATTAGCCTTGATACCATTCGTTTTGATGGCCTTTGTTGTTGCAATTATTTTCTTTGCTGTCTCGTTCAATATCATGGCCGTCTTTTTGCTGTCGACGGGAATCATGCTCTGCCGAGCTTCACATATCTCGATGAGCGGCTGGATAAATGGAAGAACCGGCTTCACCAGTTCGTCTCGCTCACGATCCAGTAGTAGGACGCGGAGATTGCGCCTCAAATAGTTACGCAGGAGTAAGAAGTCTACCTTATCCTCTTGGCTGTACCTATCGAACGGAGCTTTAAACAGACTGTCGAGCTCTTCATTGTAGTATCGTTCCAACCGATGAGATCTCGTGGCTGAGAACTTGATATTGTAGAACTTGTTGAGATTCTTTTCATCCGCGGTAACACGTATAATACGCTCCAGCATAGACTCCGAGATGGTTGTAGCTGTGTGTTGTCCGTGGCCATCGCTCACATCAACCCAATCGCCGTCAGAGACGCCGCCTTGATGAGACCGGGTAGCGAGACGATGTGTGGCCATGGTGATGATGACGTAAAGCTCGTGATTCTGTGATTGAGTGAAGTTCCGATTTGATGCGGTAAGATTGGATACCAAGTTGTAGCATCCGGCAGTGATGATTAGATTGAAAGAATGCGGGGAAAGCTTCGTTCTTGAAGCAGCAGCCGAGACACGAGGCGCAGAGGCGTGAACTCCGGACGGGAGGCCGCGGGGGTCTTATCTCGGCCCCAGTTGCCGAGTCCTGGGAGGGAACGTTGCAGCGGCATTCCTTCAGTGGAGCCGATAACATCCCTAGTGGGAAGGTGCGCTGAAGAGAAGCTTTTCGGTGGCAGCGGGTTCCTTGCATCTTGTTTCCCTTTACGAACCATCACGCCAAACTCATTCGCGATTCATGCACGATTCATTTACATTTGCACCAGACTTGGTCATGAGAGATCATTTGAAGATTACATTATTGAGCTAAGCAATTGATCTTACTTGGTGTAAGTGACTTTGTTGTCAATCCCAAGCGAGTGCGTAAATATGAAGACCACACTACTCTAGCACTGGCTCTCGACAGCGACAACCTCACTGACGCCAGTCTCAATGCCCTCACCGGCGCTCTCAACGCGCACAAACTGAGCCGAGCCGGAGAAGGTAGCCTTGGTCTCGAAGCCAGTCTTCTCAACAGAAGTCTTCTCAGTCAGCGCATCCTCCGAAGCGCCGGCGAAGACGGTCCACTTGTTGTTCTCCGTCGCGCCGTTCCAACTCATGTACACCTCGGTCTGGTTGCCAGCGTCGCAGGCGAAAGCCTTGGGCGCGTAGTAGGGCTTGCCGACCCAGGGGTAGCGGTGGTTGCGGTAGCTCTGTACGATCTTGTCCTCGCCAAACTGCGCGGTGAAGACGCACTCGCCCTCGGCGTTGAACTCCTTGATCTTGGGCGTGCTGCCGTAGCCGATGACGGTGTGGCCGCTGCCGTCGTTGAGGACCTGGACGTTGCCCTGGGAGACGGCAAAGATTGTGTCGTTGGGGTCGATGAGCTCCTGCTTGAGGGTGGCCTCCCAGGTGGCGGTGTTGACGGTGAGGAAGATGCCCGAGGTCTCGTTGACGCCGCTGCGGATGCCGCTGTTGTCGTTGTTGAAGAGGGAGATGAGGGCAGTGCCGTTGCCCTCGGCGTGGATGCGGGCGTCGTGCTGGTAGCAGAAGGACAGGCCGTTCTTGAGGGTGAAGGAACCACCGGTTTGGCCCTTTGGCATTGTCAGCTTAAGTTCGTTTCAGGCAAAGCTTGAGCAGGTACTTACGTTCAGGGTCCATTCAACAGATCCATCCTTGGCGATCTTGAAGATGGAGCAGTAGTGGCGGGAGGAGATGAGGAAACCACCATCAGCGAATCTCTCGATCGAGTTGATGTGGAAAGGTCCCCAGGGGTAGGTCTGGTTGAGGCCAAGGTCCTCCAAGGGGTAGGTAGGGGCAGCAGAAGCCAGAGAGATCTCGTCCAAGTGGTCCAGGTGGCTCCACTGGAAGAGGATCTCGTTCGTCTTAATGTCGATCTCGAAGAAGAGCGAGTCCACGATCCAGCCATCGACAGGGCCGCCGACGGAGGTGAGGTCCGTCTGGGTAACATTCACAGCAGGAGCGAACATGGTGCCCTCGGGGGTGATGTAGTCCTCGTGCATGTCCAGCCAGCTGCCGCCGGTGAGACCGGACGAGTCCCAGCCGGTGAATGTCTGGAGGTTCAGGCCGTTGGCGTACTGATCCAGAGTAACATTGTAAATGTTCTTGTAAGTCTGGTCGTAGATGAAGACAGCTCCGTATCCGAAACCGTAGGGTTCCGGCATGGTGATTCCGGTGTAGAACGTGAGAACAGGCTCCCCGAAGAGGGTTTGGGCGCGCCAGGCGGAGATATCGCCGTAAGGACCCTCCCAGATCAGCTCGTTCTCATTGCTCATGATGAAGACGGAGTAGTTGTGACCGCCGGAGCCGGACTGGTCAAAGAAGAGGTGACCCTCGGCAATATCGCCGGTCTGGGTGATCTTCAGAGAAGGGGGCTGCAGAGCAGGCTCGGAACGGTAGGTCTGCCACGGCCAGGGGTTGGTGGTGCTGTTCTGGGCCGCGGCGGCCTGGCTCAGGCCGAGCAAGGCGGTGGCCTTGAGAAGGGAGGTAGAGCGGACCATGGTGACGGTAGGCTGAGTGGGTATGATTGACAGGAAGCGAGGCCTTGAGAAACAGAACAATGAAGACTCAAAGGGAGGAGTGCCATCGAGGCTTTTGTACTCTGCAGTTCACATATCTTCAACGGCATTCCTGTGTTTCCCGACATCGGTCGATTGACTCTAGCTTCACATCCGATTTTTTCTTCAACAAACACTACGGACTGCCATCGCCCCTGTCATAACACCAAGGTTTTCGACCGTTTTTCTCGCGATCTTGCACGGTGTGTGGGTCTGTTCCGAGAAGTACGCCGGCTGTGCCTGAGAGATCATCGTCATTCGTCTCCATCCAACGGCCATCAAGGATCTGATAAGATGAGATTGATAAAATTCATCACCACCAAATTCGCTCAAAGTGCCGGCTTGTGGGGGATCTTCGTATGTTTTTGGTTACATCGGGTCCCAGTCTATATATCAACGAATCCACCGTGGAGGCTTATTTGCTAAAATTTCCACAATCTGGAGGAGTCAACCCGCAACGGAATTCAGTGGTCGGTGCCGTTTGCAGAAAGTGAGATCCGACTTCCGCTAAAGCCAAATGTACGCCTAAGAATGGCTAGCAGGCTGTAACGACCTGACTAAGGGCATCTGTGAGTATGCTTTAGTTCGCTCAACTTCATATTTTTCGAATGCTTGACATGAATCTATAAAGTTCGAGAACAAAGAACGTTTAATAAACTGTGGTTGAATAGGTACCCCAGGATTCTGCGAGAGAGTGGGCAACAAATGCCGCTGCCAAGTGAGTGCCAAGTTGAGTCGGACTTTTCCCGACGGGCGGGACGGAAAGTAGTTAAGCATGGATAGTAGTGGATACTAGATCAAGTTACTACCTTACTAGTCCCGGGACCAAGCTCGTTCTTGGGCAGTCAATTCTCGGGGATCGAGGTGGTGGACCAACGGTCTTCGATTTCGCTCGTTCACAGACTAGCCGACTACCAGATCCTCTTTTTCGATGGTGTCGAGCTATCTATGCTATCTATGACGTCCGGTGCAGACGAGAATCGCAACTCAAGCATGCCTAAGAAGCCAGAATAACTTCAAGCAGATTCCGCGGCCAAAAGTGGTCGAAAGTATCGCATCAATTTGGCAATTCGTGTTAAACGAGCGAGACAATCTTCAGGTCTTCATGGTGGATCAGTTCGGAGTGTCTCCAACGCTTGGGAACAAAATGGGGGAATTGGCAAGCCTATCATGCGCGCGTCAAGTCCCAACACTCTGATAGCAATGTGAGCCAGAACGGCATCTGCATATAGGTGTTCCAGAACAAGCCATGCAAGGTCAAAAATAAGCTTATCCTTTGTGTTGGGACACCGCATGGCGTGCTTGGTCCACTGTATGGCGCAATGTAGGCTCGATGCATTCTGGGCAACGGTATATGTCCATGAGCTTTCGAGATGGTTAGCAACTTGAGTCATGCCTGAACCGCTGTACCTATGTTGTAGAGACGATATGTTGAAGCGAATAACTTTCGTTGCTCGAGCAAAGACCAGAACACTTTGTGGATGCTCAAGCGAGGTCTTCATATCAATACATAAAATATCATCCCACCATTCAACTTCTGCTCGTCGCCTTTCACTGCCCATTCTAAAATACGGCCAAGTTTTGATGATGAGTCGATTCAGGCGCATAGAAAAAAGTATTTCAATCTGTAAAACCTGCCCACTAACAACTATTTTATGCCAAGCCAACTTATCACGAGTCAAGAAACGCCTCGCTTTCTTAGGCTACCTTTGTTCGATACCGACCACCTTCTAAGCAATTTTCTCCACGTCGAGATCAAAATCACCATCGCCTCTCATGATGCAACTTTCACCTTCCTTGGCCCAATCAGAGTCCCGACACAGCAGGGCAGAAGCATGACTCTCGCACTCCTGTCGAGGATCACACTTACCCTCGGCACAACACGTCCACTTAGCCTCAACATGGGCGTTGCCAGACGGTGCCGTCGACTGAATAGACGAATTCTTGCCCGACTTTGAAACTATCGCGGGCTTCCCCGTGCCGGAGCAGGTCTTGCACTGGATGCGCGAGTTGGTCTCCAGCTCCATGATGTGCTTCGAAGCGACCTGCGAGAGGACGAGCTGGAACTTGTAGTTCTCGAGCAGGTCGGTGCAGTTTCTGGGAACTGAGGACATGACGGGGAGGTCCATGAAAAAGCGGTCGCTGACGTAGCCGAGGTCAATGGCCTGGCCGCAGAGGACGAAGGCTGTTTCGGGGTGGGGGATGAGACGCATCTGAGGCTTTCGGAGGCCGTTATTGTAGACGTTTGAGCAGTTCTGCTCGCAACAGACGATCAGGATCTCGACTTTTTGACACATTTTGGCTGCTTAGTGAAATCCGGGTGCTTGAGATAACTCGACGTTGATGAGTAGTTGTCTTGATAGATTTGACGATCGGGACGCTGTCAATTTTCGCGAGATGACCAAACTCGGACTATGACCTATCGAGTACCGTTGGAGGTTGGTAATTGAAGGCGTGGTTATAACGAGAACCAGTCAGATATATAGGCAAGTAGCTCAATAGCTGGTGTTGCCTATTGAGGTGCTCATATGAAAGAACTCGCGAGGCAGCGTAACCGCTTGCGTTCAAAGAGTACTTGGTCGAGTCGCCTAGAACAAGAATATTTCTAAAGAAAACAACCACACTGGCTTCGGACTTTACGAGAACAATCGAGTATCGGGTCGATATCGGACAAATCCTTTGTTGGAACAACAATCCGGTTCAACTTTCCAATCCGGGATGTGTATGAAAACTTGGCTCTCATACGAATCATCGACGTCCAGGAATTTGAATATCAGAACCGAAGAGTTAGATAATGAGACTCGAAAACTTCTAAGCTAGAATCATCAAAGGCTTTATGTTTCATCTGTGTCTACCGTAACGTAGTGCCATTGATGATCATGATTGGGTAGACAAAGAGTTTCGGGTGAGGTAGGTACCTCTATGCCGTTTGGCATTTCCTAGCTCAACACCACTGTACCTGCTCTTACAATCTTAAATGTTGTTTACCTGAGCGTATGCTTTAATGACTTGTCTAAAGTTCTGAACAGAATGCTTCCATCTTCTTGAACTTTTTCTCCTGCTAACATGCTCCAATATTTCTTTCATCCATGATATTGGTGTACCCTTTAATGAAAGCTCCACCACAACTTGAAGAGGTTCGCCTACAGATATCCTACGTTCCGTTCCTGGATAGTTCTAGTGCTTCTTTGGATCTGCGTATAATTCGTTCATTTATTCATGTAACCTCATGCAGTTGATGCAATACTCCTTGAGACATGTAAAAAAAAAAAAAAACGGTGTAATCACAAAGCAACTCAAGACTCGAAATAAGGTACCAAGAAGAATATGTCAAAATCCCGACAAACGAAAGCGGGCCCATACAGACTCGACAGGGTAAAGTCTCAAAGCCATGTATTCCGACTTTGCTGTTTTCGTAAGCACTCTGGGTAACGCGCTTCTTAGGGGCTGTAGCGGCTGAGCATCGACCTCTCCCTTGTTGATCAGACAAACATGCGTGCAGCGAATTCATATTTGGAGACTTCATCGATAGCTAGTAACTTGCGCGACCAGTCTTGTGGCGCCTCGATGTCGAGCCCACAATCAAGTTCCATTGTTCTGAGGAGGACCCGAGCCATAACATACTAACATGTACTTGCAAGGGGCCTGAGGTGTCATGTCGTCATTCCCTTGGCCGGCTGTCAAGAACGTCCCTGGTGAACGGCTGTTCTGGTGTCTAGACTTTTGAAAGGCTAGGTAGGTATGGCAGGGATTCTCACTCAGCGATTTACGCATAATGAAGTTAATTCGCAAAATAAACAGCTGTTGGGACTTTGGGCCACTCACGCCACTACGCTTGCTTTTCGTATTACCGGTACCTGCAGCAAGGAATTAGCATACGAAGCCCCAGCAAATAGGATTGAGGAGACCCAAAGTCCCATTGGAGGGGGGGAAAAACATGAGCAATGCAAGGATCGAGATCCCGGCGCGGTGGTCCGCGCCGTATTCGCCCGTTCGAGACCGGCGGACTACCGTCAAAGGGGCGGTGCAATTTTTACGAACTTGAGGATTATTTTTGGCGCGTCTTAGTGTGTTAAGGTACGTTTTCGTCCACGGAACAGAAAAGAAAAAAGCTTTTCCCTCGTGGAACGATGGATGGATCTGCGACACGAAAAAGAAATCTGACCGGAACGGCTGCAACGGCATCTCGATGTAGGCCATCAATGAGACATACCAAACAGCCACAGGATCGCGGAGCCGTTGGGATCGGGCGTTTGTAGGATGGCCTTAATGACCGCTAGGGCGGCTTCCGAGATGAGGTGGCGCAAGATTCCCGTCTCAGACCCCGCTTAGCTCCGTCCAGGGGCGTTGTTTAGACCCGGGGTTAAGGCAGCCGTTGTTGGGAACTTGGAATTGTCTGGACATACAAAAGTCTGCGAGGAAAAGATCTTTTGACGACGAGGCGTGTTCTGGTTTTATTCTCTCTCTCTTCATCCTTAATAACGGTCATCGACTTCGAAGCCTTCACTCGCTCTCGGGTCATTACATTCGTTCATAATCAACACAATCGTTTAAACTGCTCTGACATCAGTACCAGAGCTATTACACCATCTTAATACCCAACAACATCAAACCAATTAACACCAAATCAAAACTTACAGCAGAAATGTCTCTCAGATACATCACCTCCCTCGCCATCATGGCCACCGCCGTCCTGGCAAAGACCGACCTCGCCGGCTGCGTCTCCTCAGACTCCGTCGTCACACCCACCCAGGGCGGCACACCCTACGCAACCCGCGTCTGGTACGTCCCCGGCACCGGCGAGATCTGCGCCGCCCTCGACTGCGGCGGCGGCCGCGCCCCTCCCAAGACCACCGTCCCCGGGTGCCCTTCCTACGAGGGCACCGAGACCTACTCGCCCTCCTTCCTACCCCTGCAGACCAGCGCCGCGCCCGTAGTCTCGACGACTGTGGCACCCGTCACCACCACTGCCGCCCCGGAGACTACCGCCAGTGCCTCTGACAGCGCCTCCGTCGCCACCGTGACCACGTCGACGGACTCTGCCGCCGTTGAGAGCGAGACGGCTGCCTCTGCGACGGATGTTGTTGTTACTTCGAGCGGCTTCAGCAATGCTACCATGACTACCCTGACAACCAGTGCTGGGTCTGTATCCGGCAGCCAGTCTGCCCGTAGCACGCGGGCTGTCGGTTCTGCTGCGACTACCGCTGCTACTACCAACAGCCCCAACGCTGCCGTTCCTACCGGCGCGTCCCGCGAGCTTTTCGGTCTCGTGGCCGGCGTTGCTATCGGCGCCGCCTTGTTGTGAAGCGTATGAAGATACATGTATATATGGACGTGGCACGAATAGACCTCCGCAGTTGATGCTGTGAATATCGTCATGACTTGGACTTTTAGGACTCAATATCATAATGCTGTAATAGACAATGGATAACTTTCTCATGATTACTTGTGTTCTATCCTTCAGTATCTGGAACTTGAGTCCGAATTTGAATATAAGTATATCCTAATTGTTCGTCGCAAGGAAGCGGAAGTCGGCTCACCTCATTTCGCTATTGAGGCTATGGCCGTGTCATTGCTCTGGCGACTGGCGTTGACATCCGATATGCTACGGCATCTCGAACAGATGAAAGGAAACTGCTGAGCTATATGTGAAGTATTGAGTGTCATTCTGCTATGTGTCAAAAGGCGAACCCCAGCCACCAGAAATTTCATTAACCGAACTCTTCAACGCCTTCGACTTGCATCCAGTCGCTAAAACACCAACAAAAAGACCTGCACGCCCCTTCCACGCGTAGGCCAGACCTACCAAGGAACCTGCATGAATTCCCACAACGTCGGCCCATGAGACCTCCTACACAGATTGATTCTGTCCGGACAAACGCAAAGCTGCATCATAGTATGCGTCCAATACGGCGACAGCAACTGGTAGCCACCATCCGGGTGCTGTCTTGGAACCCACGACTCCCACTCCCTCATCTCCCCGGCCCATACACCTACGTCGCTCTTGCTGTTGTGACCGATGAACTTTCCCCAGCTTTTGTTTAAAAACCCAAAGTAGCCTTGCTTCTCCACGCAATACCACATGGTGGCGGGATCGCGGACGCCTTGGAGGTCCATGAGAACTGGCCTGTCATCGACGAGTGTGATGGCTTTGCCGGTCTCCTTTTCGATGATGTAGAAGTGCTTGCCAGGCCACGGTATGTCGCTTACGTGATCGTCCTCGACATCTTCGCCTGCTACGGATGTTGTTGCAGGTGTCAAGATTGGGGTGTGGAACTCTGAAGCCGTCTCAGAGCCTGTGTCGTCGTGCTTGTCTTGAGAGGCCATGATGGCCTGAACGTTGCGATGGCGACAATTTAGCAAAGAAGAATGAAGCAGACCGATGGATTTGCCAACTGAGATCGAAGGAATCAAAATTCACAAGATATAGAGAAGCTGTCACTTGTATTCACTGAGATGAAGTTGGATTAGATGTACCGCACAGTGATGAGATAAGTGCGTCAAGGTAGCATGACGTGCGCCACATGAGTTGTTCCGCTGACGGAACGGAGGCTCAATGTGGATTCTCATTGGTTGGGCTGTCTCAGTTTCCAGTGTGTCAATCGAGTTTAGCTCGCTGAAGGCCTCCAGCATCCGGGTTCAGCTGGTATCTTACAACCGCAGACTGAAGCCGTGCCTGCATTGTCGATTTTTCTGCCTATTGTGGACATCCTGAAATGAGATACAGTCGAGTGTACGGCGGCTACTTTCTTCCTGATCTTGCGTTCGTGGGGCCTTCTTCATTCGATGAGTGTGAACAACACAGACTGCGGTGGAGTCTATGCGATATCAAGCTCCCTACGAAAGTACACCCTCTCGTATCCATCCTCCGTCCTCCTCTCTGTCTCGACGAACCCCATCTTGGGATACAAAATGAGGTTTTCATACATTTTGACATTGGTGTAGAGTTGTAGAGATGTGCATTGCGAATCTCGCGCCACATCCTCGGCGCATTTCATCAAGACTCGACCGTATCCGCGGCCTTGAGCCTCAGGGGCTACGACAAGGTTGTTGATGTGCAGTGCACTCGCTGAAGGATCAAGGCGAAGTAGAATGGCGCCTACTACTGTGTCATTCTCGTCGTCGTGAAGTATGTAGACCAGCTGCGTCTTGATGAGTTCATGATAGTCGGCTTTCATGGGTGCTGGTTCTTTGCCGATACGGTCGATGTACTTGGAGTACGCAGCTCTGGTCATGGATTGAATGTGAGGTACATGTTCCGCATTGGCTCTCGCGAGAGTGCAGCCTTTACGAGATGAGATTGGTTCGAATTGTTGTTCGGCCATGGCTCAGAATAGATAAAAATATATAAAACTGAGTTGCAGATAACTCAGTTCACCATTTTATCCCTTCTCACGAGATACTACATTCAATTAGTCACTTTAGGTGACTCTCACTTCCTGCTGTCAGGTAAGACGAGAGGTACATTTCCGAATTGGGCCAATGACGAGATAAGGCCGATAGTGGAGAGCTTTGACCCCACCGGCCAATCGGAGAAGGCGACAGGCGATAAGATAACAAATCAGACGAAAAAGTCCGCCGTCGGAGAAATCATTCACGACACCCGTCGCATCCTGACCCGCCGTAGCCACCCAAGCATCACCAAAATCGCATCTCGAACCTGGTTTTTCACCATCCACGTCAACCACCACCCAGCGAACCCACGCCGAACCGTCGCGTCTCAAAGTTCCAAGCTTCACGCCAACCATCACACGACCTCTCGATCGCATATCAAACTTTTCACAATGGACCACACCCGCGATCCCTGCCCCTGGGTTATCCTCAATGGTAACGTTCTCAGCCGACCATCATTACCCCCTAGGAGCCCAAGACTAACGATCCTGTAGACTTTGGCGGTGCTTTTGCTATGGGAGGTGAGTAATCTAGCCATTTGCGATCACGAACATCGATGCACTCCTCGAATCTCGAATACACTTCGTTTTCGAACCTCGAGCTCCCGAATCGATCAACTCCGCCACGGAACTTGCATTCTGACACATGTCTAGCTATCGGTGGAACGGTATGGCACGGTATCAAGGGTTACCGTAACTCTCCCTATGGTAATTAATACCCCTCTGCGCGATCTCAGAGATGGTGGCGATGATTAACAGCGCATCAGGTGAAAGAAGAATCGGTGCCATCTCAGCCATCAAGATGCGCGCTCCCGTACTGGGAGGAAACTTTGGAGGTAAGCATACGACTTTTGGGAAGACTTTTGGTCTCATGAATAAGGCTAATACGGTATTATCTAGTTTGGGGAGGTCTTTTCTCGTGAGTAGACTCCTTTGCCGATACTCGAAATTACGATCCCGAACGCCAAGACATTGCAAACCCTCCGGGCGATTTTGAGTAACTTACTGACTGAAATAATGTAAAATAGAACATTCGACTGCTCCGTAAAAAGTATGAACCGTCTCCTCAAACTCCGTAAAGCCATAAGATACGATGGGAAATTGCTAGGCCTCGCACTGGCGAGGATGGTGTTCCTAACATGGGGCATTAGCCCGAGCTATCACCTCGAAACGCCAGTGCTCGCAGGGCTAGCAATTTTCCTCTGCATCTTGTGGGACGAGTTATGTCTTGGGCGCTAACAGTCTATGTTCAGGTCTTCGTGGACACAAGGAGGATCCTTGGAACAGTATCGCCGCTGGCTTCCTCACAGGTGGTGCGCTAGCCATCCGCGGAGGATACAAGGTAAGCCAGCTTGTATATACGGCCGATTCCTACATGTCGCTAACTTGAGTTATTAGGCCGCCCGAAACGGTGCCATTGGTTGCGCGCTGCTTCTTGCCGTCATCGAGGGTGTCGGTATCGGTTTCCAGAAGATGTTCGCGGGTAGCACAAAGCTGGAGGTGAGTTGAAAAGGTCCCAGGCGCTCGACCGGCGAAACGAAGCTGACAATTCCCGTGATAGATGCCGGCGCCTCCTCCTTCCGACGAGAGAGCTCTTGCATAAACGATCGATCCTTCACGAAGCATCCATTTTACCGGCGAACGGCGTGTGATCGAGGCGACCGCCTTGCCGACGAAAAGAATAAATCGGACCCCACTCTACTCCTCAACACTCGAAGCCTGTTATTCGTCCTATTGACGAGGGCTCGACAATTTGTTTTCCACATCACAAGGGAGCGAATCAATTCGATCCTATTTTTGTAATCCATTGAAAAAATCGCAACATCGGAGAGGGTGGCGTTATATGTAGAATAGGGGCAAAAAGTTTGCTACCAGTCACTGGAGACTGGACTGTAGATGAGGGGTGGACTGCCATCATGATCTTCGAGGGGGGTTCTCAACTCACCAAAGAAGAAAGGCGGCTTCCGTCTAGGCAGCACGAACAGGGGGAAAACCTGCATATGTTCTCGGCACGGCTGGGGGTTTGGATTCGAGGAGAGAGGCAGTTTCTTCTCCCCTTTTTGACACGAGTAGTGGGATAGAGGTGTTCATAATTGTACCATCAACTCACTGATTTCTCAAAATCTTGGTCTTTTACCACACCTTGAATCTCCCCGCCTGGCTCTAGAACATTTCTAATCTGGAAATGTCGTATCCGGTTTCGAGCTCACCACTTCTCAGAATACTCCCTCACATCAACCCCCTCAACACCATCCCGATAAATCTTGGCATACGCCTTGCCATCATCGGCTATCCAAGCCCTGTACATCCCATTACAGTTGAAATCCTGCAGAATCTCCGACCGCACACCTACCACTTCCCCTCCTTCGTTCCTCGTAACCGCGACCTCGATCCCGATGATACCGCCCTCGCCCTCGCCGGTAACCTTCCACCGCGGTCCCGCACTCCTCTGCAACTTCCCGCCCGGACCGGAAACAAACGACACGGCGTCAGCCCCGGAAAGCGGCTTCCACCGCGCCACGGCGCCGACGGTCCGGCCTGCGGCGACGCGCATGAAGGAGTCCCCGTTTCCCGTCCCGGAGGCCGCAATCGCCCTCGTAGTCTTGACGCCCTTGCGCAGACCAGTCATGCCGCTAGGTACGGGGGAGTAAGTCCTCGGCGAGGGAAGGCAATCCGCCATCAACCCTTTTAAACTCTCACTCAACACAAGGAACCCATCCCCAGCACCACCAGCACGAGCAAACGCACCCGTCGGATCCCCCTCCTCAACCCACTCCTCGGCCCAGAACCCGGCCCCGACGACGGGCGTATCCCCGATGCGGCCAGTCAACTTATTCGTCAGCCCACCCGTGCTCGTAGCAGCGCAGACGACGCCGTCTTCGTCCAGGGCTACAGCGCCGACGGTGCCTTGCGGGAGAAACTCTGTCGTGCTGTACGTGCTCGACCCCTGGCCTGCTTTCTCACGCTCGAGGGCGCGGATGTGTTCGTCCCACCGCCGCTGGGTGAAGAAGTAGTCCGTAGATACCAAGTCCAGCCCGTACTTTTTCGCGAGGGTCTCGGCTGTTGGGCCGTGGAGGAGGGTGTGGCCTTGTGCCGAGGGGGCATCGATGCCGGCAGCAGCCGCAGCATCAGCATCAGAGGATGAAGAAGGGTGACTACTCTCAGGGTTGCCCCCCAAATCCTCATCCCCGTGCTCCAATATCGCTTTTGCCAACAGAATCGGGTTCCGGACGTGTCTCAGGCCCGTGACGCCGACGCCGCGCTTCGCGAAGCCGCGGGAGACCATGACGGAGGCCTCGAGCTCGTTGATGCCGTCGCGGGTGAAGACTGCGCCGTGGCCGCTGTTGAAGAGGGGGTTGTTCTCCAGGAGGGTGACGGCGTGGGTTGCTGTTTCTAGGGCTGTGGGGAGAGAGCTGGATGTGCCTGTGGGGGAGGGAGTGTTTTGGTATGCGTTTGTTTTGCTGACCTGTGTTGTTGTGTGAGTTACATGTATGAAAGAGTTAAAGTGTTGTTGATGAGAGGTGTGAGAGGGCCTCTATGGGGTTCTCAAACTAAAAGGGAGGGAGAGCTTGTGATGTTTGGACTTACGATCGTCAGCAAGGCGTGGCGGTACTCTGCATACTCTGGCGGCTGTAGATTCGACGGCTTGATATTACCCGCGCCGCCGTGGATGATGAGGCGCGGCTTCACCTTCACGGCGGCCGGAGACTGACGCTTGTACTCCATCCTTCTTTCTAACTTCTTTTTCTCTTGTGCTATCGTCTCTCGAATCCCGAGTCAATGAAAGTAAACTAGCAATACTGATAACCTCCTGTAAGTCTAAGATATGAGATATTTTGCGACGCAAGACAAGTGTCGTCTCATGTGAGGTGGAAGACGGGAGAGTCGTCGTTAGTGATAAGATAAGAACTGTCCGAACCGGCAAGCCGAATGGGGAAGCTCCAACGGCCGACGCTCGGCTCCAGCTTGCCGATGGGCGGATCACGTCAACGGAGGGGTTGGAAGTGTCATCTTTTGCAGTGTTATAAACGAGTCAGGTGCTGCACATGGCCAACAGAGATACTTTTACTAATGACATACTGGCAAACAATGCAATATCTAGAAATGCTTTGATTTTTGGGGTATCCCTCTACTTTTCTGTTTGTTTGTACAAAGTGCCATTGGACATGCCGCTGCCCAGTACCCAAAACGCCTCCCGAATAATACTGTGCAATCTACAAACGAGCAAACACGGACCCGATGATTTCCCGGCTCTTGAGGAGGTTCAGGACCCTCAACCTTTCGTTGTCCAAGTGGGCGGAATCTGACGACTGTCCGCAAGGGAGGTGCGCGGCCGGAGCGCCGAACTCCTTCTCGAGGAAGCGGATCGCGGGAATAGAGCCGCCTTCACGAATGTACAAAGGCTTCTTGGGCTTCTGCGTATTCGTCTCCGTTGTCTCCGCGGACTCCGCCCCTGTACCTTCAACCGCAAACACGGACGACCACGATTGCATAATAGCCTCCTCGAGCGTCTGGAAAATGGCGTTTGTGGGATCGCCCAGCCACGGCTCGGCCTTGTTGTCAATCTTGATGGTCAGCGAGTTCTTGGACTCGAGCTGCGCGAACTCGCTCTCGAGGTAGGAGCCCAGCGAGGCAATGACGTCGTTGACCTCCTGGCCCGGCACCAGACGCAAGCTGATGTTAGCACTCGCGTGGCTGCTGACCAGGCTGCCGTCCGGTCCCGATACCTTGTACCGGTGAATCGTCAAGTTGGGCTCCCGCCAGCGCGCCATCAGCGCGGCTTTGAGCTTGTCGGCGGGCCCCTTTTCCGGGTTCTGGCGCATGAGCGTGGCTGCAATGTCGTCGTAGCGCGTCTCCTCCTCGGACGTGACGGGGAGAATATCGTCGTAGAAGCCGGGAATGAGCACCTTGTTACCGGGGCCCTTCAGCTTTGACAGGGTGGAAGTCAGGTCCGACAGGGGCTCGTCGTTCATGTAGGAGCCGTCTACACCAGAATGCTGGTCGGGCAGATGCGAGTCGACGCAGACAGTGGCGTGCAGGACGCCGCGCAGACCGTAAGTCAGGCAGGGGACCTCATCGTCGAGCCAGTAACTGTTGGCAAGCAGGATGTAGTCGACGTCGCCAATGAGGTCCTTGTTCTTGCGAACAATCTCCCTGAATCCGCGAGAAGCCGATTCTTCCTCTCCCTCGATCAGAAAGATGACGTCATTGGCAAGTTTCTTGGCTTGCAGCAAGTCCGTAACGGCGAACAACGCAGCCATGATCGGGCCCTTGTTATCACTGACGCCTCTGCCGTATAGGTATCCGTTGACACCCTTCATTTGGAATGGGTCCGTCTCCCACTTGCCCTTCTTGGTATCTGCCGGGACGACATCATAGTGGCCGTAGAAAAGAATCTTCTTCCGCTTCTCGGCCGGCTCCAAAACGCCATCAAACTTGGCAAGAACAACGGGGTTGTGGGGACTGCTCTCCGTGCTCAGCATCTCGACATGACCGCCAAGCCTCTTGAACAAGGACCCAAGGAACGTTGCACCTCTCCGGCAGTCCTCTGCGAATTCTGGGCGTGATGACACCGTCCGGTAGGACACGAACTCTCCTAGTGTTTTAATCATGACGTCGTTGGCTTCCTCTACCTCCTTCTGTTGGTCCTCGTAAGACGAGCAGTCAATGTTCCAGATGGCAACATCATCGTCGTTGCCGCCGGTGATATAGTACTGTCTGTTGTTGTATGTTGTCACTGCTGATGAGAGAATCTTGCCCTCATGAGCCTTCCAGCGCGCCACGCACTGGTACTTTTGGCTAATGTTCGCGACCTGCTTGTCTTGGTACTGGCCGTAGTGGGCAGTGGTGTGTTTCTAAGGGTTGTCAGCAGTGAACGAGTGGAATGGGAAAGAATGACTTTACACTCGCAGAACCAGAGCGAGAGGCACTGAGGAGATAGCCCCAACCCATCTGAAGTGTCATGACATCGCCCCTGTGACCCTTAATCACTCGCAACTTGGACTTTGTATCGAGGTCCCACAGTTCAATGACTCCTTGCAGTTTCCCAGCATACAAGAAAGACCCGTCAATCGCAAGAGACATGACCGACTCAGCATCGTCGGTGCCCAGTGACATAAGCTCTTGAAGGCCAGGTTCGCGGTCATTATCAGCCGCCTGATCGTCTCCCTCAGCACCAAGCTTCCACAACTTGATGGTACCGTCTCCGCCGCCCGAGATGAGTACCTCCTCTTCAGGTTCCACCAGAACGGTAGGGCCCTTGGCCATGAGCATCGAGTAGACATAGCCGTAGTGGGCAAACATCTGCACAGCCCCCGATGGAATTTCCACCACCTTTTCAGATCGCGGGATCAATGTCCACCTCTCATCGTTACGGCGCGGCGTCGTTGTCCCTCCTACAGCTCGGGAGTCGAAGAACCTGTGATTCCGACGGTCGGGGTGTTGTGATGAGTCGTGAGTGGTACGGTTATTCGGATCGGTGAGGCTGACCCATTGAATCGAGGTGTTTTGCGCTCCAACGTACACCGTCTCGTGCTGGGCGCTGTAGGCCACGGAAAAGATGTCGCCGACGTCGTATGTGCTGTAAATCTCGTACAGGCGTTTCATCGTCTTGGGGCACCAGACGTTGATTAGGGGATCTCCGGCGCTCGAGAACAGCATGGAGCCGTCGGGGGTAAGGAACAGGCTCAGCACGCTGCGCTTGTGAGCCTGGACGATGCGCTCCTGGTGGAAAGTGGCCAGCGACCACACGACAATCTCGCCATCTTGGGTGCCGGCGTATATGCGTTCGTTCTCGGCGCTTACGGCGAGGGCGAGGACGGAGCTGTCGTGCTTGAGGTTGTGGAGGAGTTCGGGGGCGACCTGGGGGCAGTCGTCCGTGTCGCTCAGGTTCGTGGACAGATCGGAGGCCGCGATGGCGGAGGGCATTGTGTCTTCTGTCGCGCGAGAAGGGAGGGGGGACAGCTTGTCAGCGGAGGTGCTTAGGCGAAAGAATGCGACCGGTCGACCCAAGAGAGAAAATGGAATGGGTCGATCGAGGCTGAAGGAAAGGGAAACGTTGTGTGGCGTGTTGAGACAGGAAAGCAAGAAGCAGACGTTGGATTGTGACGCATTTCCCAAGATGAATCGGCCAAATTGGCTGCGAACTCGCAACGAAAATGGCGAATGACGAAATGCGCTAAAAGGGGAGTCACTCCGCCCACCATTCCCCCGGGCAGCGTGGATCTCCCCGTAAGGGACCTCTCCCTTAGGGGTGGACACTGTGGACGTCCCAAGGTTTTGGGCTGAGTGGATCGTCCCTAGGTGCAGTTGCTGCCAGCCCAAGTGCTCTAGCTCCCGTAGCTACAAGGTCCACTGCTGTTTTCTCAGGGGAACTACAGGGACTAATGTGACACGAATTGTCACTCTGAAGCATCCCGTCCACGTCTCGTGACACTCGTCCCTTTTTGAACTCTCCTCGAAGCCCATCAAGTTTGATCAAGTTACAATAAGAGACGGAGGGAACTCACCATCTTCATACTCTTCAGAAGACTCGGAGCCAATCGATAGTTCGACTAGATCTTGGTGTATCTTCCGGCACCCCTCGCAGTCGTCCTCCCCCGGGGCGTGGGGCTCACCAGATTTGTAGACCACAGCCATCTCCTCGAGATGGGAACAATAGCGTCCGCGATTCTGACTCGGAGTATCCGTCCGCCACGGAAGGATAAGAACTCGTAGATGGGCTGAATCCGCTTCGATCCTGGGGTAACTTGCCACAAGCCAAAGGTGGGGAGGGGGGTTTTTCTCTATTTGTACGGAAGTCCTGATGGCTTTGACTCTCTCACCGCTTCATGACGCAACATTGGAGGGGATGGTATCATAGGCCCGTGATAGCAAATATAGGAGACTGCAAAAACGCAGGTATGATTAGGTATGATTCAGTTGAAGGAAACGAGATTAAGAAAAACCGGGCGGCCGGGAGTGACCTTAAGCATTAAGGAAGAACTGTCCGCAGGGCCGAGATCGGTTGCGTGATTTCACATTTCACAACTTCGTACAAACTACGAGCTGTCAGGTGGGTGCCAAGCACTATTATCGCCTGGACCTCTTCCAATCCTTACGGACGTGGAGTCTGTCCGCTTCGGCATCTACCCATCCAAGCCAGCCACGATCCTCCTCAGCAAGTGACACCTAGCTAAGACAGCCCGGGATGGTCGCCGACCTCCCTGTGAGCCTGTGAGATATGGAGGAATAAGGCCTCAGCAGCGGGCAGCAGCGTAGCTCACCGCAAGATTGTGGTCCAGATGTGCCAGATTGGCAGACCCCCAAATCCACATCCAGGGTGCGCGTGGTGATCTTCCGAAGCCACGGTCCCCAGCAATTTGTGTTCTGTCCTATTGGAGGGCACCACGCTCCCGGCGACGAAAACGGAGCACCGGTGAACGGCCAAGTGTGCCCAAACAAGGGGACACAGGCCGGCAAGGGTGGTATCGAAGTAGCTATCCGTTGGATTAATCCGATAGGCCTCACTTCTCACCCGTGGTCTCAAGCAACCTGCAGATCCGTCGGGTAGGAGTCTGCCGTCAGCCGTGTATCGTTGTTTGGTCGAACAGACGGCGGGACAAAATATCGCTGTACTAACATATTTACCTAGGGTACCTTATGTTGATGAGCTGTATCGCGTGGTGGAGCAGCAGCTGGATATGGGGCTCAAACTTTCGCCTTACTCCCTAAAGTCTTCATCATCGATCAACAATCAGGGAATGCAAGGGATCTTGGGAAGTTGAGCAATGCGAAACCGTCATGGTTACAGCAGACCAGGAAGAAACATGGGCGTCGGCCTGGGTAGAAGTCGTTGCTGAAAAAGCATTTGGGTAATTGCGGCGAACAAGACCAAGATACCTGTTGCTTTACTCCGTAGACTGCCTTCCTTTGGGGAGCCCATTACAGCAGTGGCCAATGGCCGAGCTGCATGATGACTGTCATCCGTCTTAAGGCTGACCAGCAGGATCGAGATATCTCACACACCAACTTCTTCCGGAAGACAGAGTCACCAAATTGCAAGTGTATCCTGGAAGATTGCCTTCACTTGACACAAAACCGTCAACAAGCTCAAGTCAAGAGTCTGGAGTCTTGCAGACGTTGTCTCGAGACACGTCCGTTACCGCCATGAGCACCGCGACACCAAAGAAGAGCAGGGTCATCCATCCTCTGACGAGGGAAAGGACAATACGCGAAAAGACAATCTTCCTCGCAGGCACAACAAGCAAGAGAGACTGGCGCAAGGATGTCGCCGACTCACTGGCTCATCTGCCGGTGGTCATATTCGATCCCTTCCGGCCGGACTGGGACAGCACCTGGAAGGAGGATATCTCGGATGAGAGATTCAGCAATCAGGTCAACTGGGAGCTGAACATGCAAGAGAGGGCCGACATCATCATTGTTTACTTTGAACCGGAGACAGAAGGACACATCAGCTTGCTCGAGTTGGGGCTCTGTGCTCGCTCCAAGGGAAAGGTCATCGTCGCTTGTCCTGAAGGGTATAAGAAGAGGGGCAATGTTCAAGTCGTCTGTTCGAGATATGAGATTCCATTCGTGGAGAGCTTTGAAGAGCTGATCCAGAAGCTGATCCAGAAATTGGAAGCAACCGATGTTAAGGCTTGAGGAGAATAGTCTTCATAGTTTTGAGAATCACTTTCGCGCCGTGATGTGCGGCCAAGATGATTCAAGATCGGGGGAGAGGCCGCCATTCATGTACCAAACACTGTGGAGGAACAGCCCCACTAACTCCGATACTCGAGTGCCTTTCTCCGATACGGCGGGCCGAAGGTTTTTCCTTCCAGTGCCTCCAGACTCGATTTGCGCTTGGTAACCCCACTTGCCTAATCCGACATGGTTCGCAGGCCCTCCAAACACCCAGAGCTTCGAGGGCAACTCCTTCGCAAACCAACCTCGTGCATCTGCTCCAAATATCTTAGCTTCCCTTGCTATAGCTCCTTACCGACATTCTCTCCTTCATACCTTTTTGTCTAGTATAATTGTTAGAACACATATCCTTCACAATGGACGACCAATTCGGAGGCCGCACAGACGACGACCTCTTCTTTGACGATTTTGAGCCTGTGAGCAATCCCCAGGCCGTCGAGACAGTCGAGACCGTCGTCGCCCCTCCACCCCCTCCACCCGCCGCTGTCGCGACGCCGCCTGTCGAGCCACCAAAACCCGCACCCGCGCCTGCACCTGTCGCACCCAAGTCCGTAGAGCAACAGCAGCAGAAACCCCAGAAGCAAGCCCAGGCCAACAAGAAACCACCCACGGCGCCGAGGGGTGGTCTCGCAAACTCCAGATTCGCCGACCCCAAGCCGGCCCCTGCTGCCCCGCGCGGCCCTCGCCAGGCAGCCCCCGCCGCCGTCTCGACTCCCCCTCCGACCGCGACCACGCCCGCGCCTAAGCCGCCGACCGGTCCCGCGGCGCAATCCTCACCTGCTCCCGCCGCTACACCGACTGCCCCTGTCGCCGATGATGCTACTGTCGCCCCGCCCTCTGCTCCGGCGGCCGCAGCTCCAAGCGACGCCGCCTCTCCCAAGAGCAGCTCGCCCGCTCCGGCAGCAGCACCTCACGCACCCCGCGAAAAGAACGCCGCCGCCGCCCCCGGCGCAAACACAGCCCTCAACGCAGAAGCCCGCCTCGGCTCGGGCGCGAACCCGCGCACCAAGCTAAGCGAATCCCAACTCGCCGCCAAGATGGAGCAGATGCGCATCCTCAACGCCGAGAAGACGCGCAAGTTCGAGCAGGCGGAGCAGGACGAGCGCAGCCACGCGGAGGCCTACGCGCGCGGCATGGAGGAGGCGCGGCAGCGCAAGAAGGCCGACGAGGAGAGGCGGCGGCGCGGCGAGGAGGAGCGCCGGCGCATGGACGACGAGCGCGCCAAGAACCGCGAGAGGAAGCTCAAGGCGATGAGTATCAAGGAGGGCGGGTGGGACGAGGGCAAGGAGGCGCTCGCTGCTGAGGAGGAGAGGAGGGGCTTCCGCGGGGCGAATGGCGGGGTTAGGGGGACGAGGTCTGCTGGGCTTGCTGGGAGCCGGTTTGCTTCGAGGGAGGATGAGGCGCCGCAGGGTGATCGGTATTCTGGTGAGGAGCGTAGAGGTGGGAGGGGTCGTGGAAGAGGTCGTGGGCAGGGGCGGGGTGGACGCGGTGGCCGTGGTGGATATGGGAATGATCATGAACGGGGGGATTCGAACGGCGCTCGGGAAGCTAAGGCTCCTGCCGCCCAGGCTCCCGCGCCGGCGCCGGTCATCAGCACCGAGGAATTCCCTGCCCTGCCTGGTAAGGCTACGAGCGGTGACATTTCGCCTCCTGTCTTGTCGCCTCTTGGCAGGTGGGACGACGAGATGGAGGCATTTGATGAGAAGCTCAAGAACGCCGCTGCGCAGTCTTCTTCTTGAGAACTATGCCTCAGCGGACAGTAAAGCTTTACGACGAGAAGCATCACGAATTGGATCACAAAATCACAGCGACGATGCATTTTGAATACGCCACAACGAGGGGAATGAAGAGCAATTGGAGTACATTATAGTTCGCTTCTAAGCATGGTTCCTCATTAAGCGGGCATCCAGGGTTTGCGAGTCTCGCCTTTAGCAGGTGCCGTTACGAGCGTGAATACAGAATGCCGTCCGGGACTACCCAACGCCGCCGTCTATGTTCCCTTGAGTTGGATGCTTCGCAATCTTGACCCGTAATCTTGGCCATCGTAGAATCAATGCCGTTGCCGATTGGATCAGTTGTGATCGAAGGCCTAAAAGACTTAGTATGAAGCAAATCAACCTCCAGTGGTATCGTCACCCACGTTTTACATCCTTCAAGTATCATGCTGAACGTCTGTTTGTTTGTGCTCCACAAGCTTGGCTCGCGGATCGAAGAGTACTGGCGGTCGCTTTCTGCAATGCTCAGTCATAATCCAAGTGCTCAGGGTAGCATGCTGCTCTTTTTCGAGATCTGACGGACAGCATCGACATAGGCTCCTAATTCGGATTGCCGCTCATCAATTCTTCATCCTCTGGTTCGGGTTGAGCTGCGATCTTTTTCGAAGTGTTCCACTTCCCCGGATGGGCCTACCATCCACCGCCGCCACCGCCACGGTATCCCCTGCCACCACGCCCGCGGTACCCTCCACCGCTCCTAGGACCTCTGGGACCGCCGGGTCCCATGTTGTCGTCGTCCATCGGTGCGCGCTGGCGGTGGCGCATCTCCTTGGGGAACGCGTCAAAGGTCTTGCGCATCTGGGCGTAGCCGAGATGCATCTTTCCGTAAAAGTGGTCCGCTAGACGGCGGTCGTTGTCCAGCCTACTGAGGTAGGCGCCGCAAACGTCGCAAACTTGCAGCTTCTGGTGGCCGGACGGGCCCGAGGTGTCTGACAGGGCCTTGAGTTCCTTCTCGCGATCCAATTTCGTTTGCTGTGCTTGGCGTACTCGATAGAACTCGTCGATCGCGCGGGATACTTCGGCCATTTCACCGAGGATTTCGACTTCGAGGGTGCCGTTGTGGATTGTGGAGGAGAGTTCGGCGATGCTTTTCAGCTGGGACATGGTTAGCTACAAATCGCAGTGCAATGCAGAAGGATGCTGAGGCCATACCAAGGCATTTGTTTGGCGGATCTCGTCGGGCGTCTTCTCGAGTCTGCGCTGTGCTGAGTCTATCCTCCTGTTGCAGTCGTCGATGTACTTTTGAAGGTCGCGCATGTAGTCGTACTCAAAGCCGTACTTTTGCTTCTCCTTATCTGACAGTCCCTCGTACTCGGCCTTGAGTGCTTCGGAGTGCTGCTTTGGGCAAGGACCGAGATCCTGCTTGGTATTCGTGAAGAGGTCGTGAGGGCATGTGCCAACGAGGAATGATCTGCAGACTTTGGGATCTGTCATGGAGAGCGAGGCCGCCCGGGTACTAGCCGAGCCGCCCATGAGCTGCTCGAGCAGCTTCCTCTGTTCTGCTGCCATTGTATATGATGCTCAACGGTGGGCTTTCAAGATTTGTATGGTATACGATATATCGTGGTTTGGCGTGAAGTTTCGTGGACGGGTCAATTGGGTATCTTGGATTGAAGGTAAGGAAATTCGCGAAGTTCTGGGGAAGAAGGCGTGTCGCGCGGGATGAACCATGGGCGGAATGTGGAGAGCTACAAAAAGGTACTTTCCCCAAGGCGTGGTTACATAAGAGGGATTCTGCCAGGTTCCACCGCCCAGACATCCCTCTATACGACCACCTACACGACCTCACCTCCAACGGCATTACATGCGCCGCCGTGCAGGGGAGAGACCGCAGCAGACGCGAATCTCGTTCTTTTGCGCTGCGACACTCCCTTCATGATGCGCCAATTTCTGGCGGCCATTCTTTTCTCTTGCCTCGCCTCCTTTGGCCTGGCTGCGGATTACCACGAGCAGCTGAACCTCCGCCCGCTGCCCCTGTCCGCCCTCCTTGCGAGCTTCAACTTCCGATCCAATACATCGCTATCTGATTTCGACTTGCAAAACTTCCGATACTTCCCCCGGTCGTTGGGTCAGATTCTTCAATATGCCGGGACAAGAGAGCTTCATCTGAGATTCAGCTTGGGAAGATGGGATGCCGAGAGCTGGGGAAGTCGGCCTTGGGATGGTCAGCGCGAAGGCGGGACGGGCGTGGAGCTATGGGCTTGGCTCGAGGCCGAGACGGACGAGGAGTATGTCACTCACTTGTCATACTGTAGATGGATTATACTTACACACATACAGGGCGGATCAGAAGTGGTTGACCCTCACCAATGCTCTTTCAGGACTCTTCTGCGCATCGCTCAACTTCGTCGACGGAACCCGAACCACCCGACCGGTCATGTCATTCCAACCCGAAGGCGACCACCCCGAAGCATCCATCCCGAACATGCAGCTCCTCCATGGCGTTCTGCCAAAGGAGGTGGTGTGTACAGAGAACTTGACACCCTTCTTAAAGCTGCTCCCTTGCAAGGGAAAGGCGGGCATCTCGAGTCTGCTAGACGGCCACAAGCTCTTCGATTCCTCCTTCCAAAGCATGGCCATCGATATCAAGCCTGTCTGCCCCGAGGGCCAGGAGTGCATTCTGCAAATCGAGCAGACTATCGACATGGTTCTCGACATTGACCGATCCAAGCGACCAAGAGACAACCCGATTCCCCGTCCACCCCCTGGACACGAGTTGAAGTGCGACACATCCAAGCCTTATCACAACGACGAAACATGCTATCCTACCGGCCTTACCACTGGTCAGGAATGGACACTGTCCCAGATTTTCGGGAAGTCGATCAAAGGCACATGCCCTTTGACAGACGAGGATGTGCCCCCAGTCTGCATTGAGGTTCCCCACACCCGAGGCGTGTATACGTCTGGCGGAGCTACGGAGATCTTGAACCCCAATGGAGCAGCGCGCTGCTTCAAAATTGGTGCAGATTCAGAGCTGGAAATTGTTCTCCCCTTGGAAGACAAGGAGGGACAGGATCCTACCAAGGAATTGGTCGAACCGCCCACTCCTCTCATCTACGCTGAGCGCAGTTTTACTGGACACGGACAGGAGCATGGTGGTATGCAAGCCATCCTTACGAATCCAAGCAAGGACACTGAGGTCGAGTTCATCTACATGGAATCGCTTCCCTGGTTTATGCGAGTTTACCTCCATACTCTCAACGCGCGTATCGAGGGATCGTCGGGTTCGCAGCCGTCGATTGTTGAGGACATTTACTACCGCCCCGCCGTTGATCGTGCCAGAGGCACACAGCTCGAGCTACGGATGCGTATCCCTCCAGCTTCTACAGTCTTCCTCACCTACGACTTTGAAAAGTCAATTCTTCGTTACACCGAGTACCCACCTGACGCGAACCGTGGTTTTGACATTGCCGCGGCAGTCATTACTACTCTCAGCCCCCGTACGCAAAGTACACGCACCACCACTCTGCTGCTGAATCTGCCCACACCAGACTTCAGCATGCCTTACAATGTCATCATATTCACCTCGACGGCGATCGCACTCGCTTTCGGTGGCATGTATAATATCCTAGTTCGGAGACTGGTTGGCGCTGATGAAGGCCCCAGTCCAGTTCTCAAGGCCAAAATAGCTGGTCTCTTGGCGAAGCTCAAGGGCATTCGGTCAGCCAAGAAATAGAGCAATGTGTTTGTGTTATCTGTTCCGATATTCGGCTTCTCAGCCTTCCCGTTTACTCGTATGCTTGTCTTCTCGTTCAGGTAGACGCGTGTCGTGTACCGATTGCTGTCCAAGCTTACAGTCCGTTTGCTGTTCTTTCCGTCCCGACTTCGTCTGCCACGAGGTTTGCAATACGGAAATTTGACTTGATCCAGGGGCTGTGGAACGTCGTCTTCCCGCCGTGAAACCTAGGCTCTGCTATCTCTATCGACTGCCTGGCGTTTGCACTTGCTGTCATGCTCTCCGACCACAAAATGACAGGCACATAAGCGGGTGATGCGACATCACGGCGGACTCAGTCGCTCAGCCAAATCCTGTCGATTGTACCCGTCGGCATCGTGACTCCAAAAACGGCACGATCTCCTTACCTTCGGCCGTACCTGCAAACTCATCGCTGTCTTTGCCCTACTAATCGTTTGTCCCTGTTGGTGCTCGACTCACCGCATGATCAGGTTCATTACCGCCTACTGATGTTAATTTGGATAAGGTATGTAGTGCTGTCTAAAAGATCTCCCTGCTACTCGTCATCGCCTGTTCCACAAGAATGTCGTGAACATGGCAGGTGATGCGGGCAGCCAAGAGCTGCCAGCCTGTCCGTCACATACTGCACACGGGAGGATATGCGAAAGAGAGGCTGCTGTATTTTGGTGTCTCGTGAACCGAAGCTCATTACCAAGTGCCACTTGACCACCAATAGTCAGCGTGAAGAATAAGAATGTACCTTACTGCCAAACTTGTGAACTGACCCGCTGCCTCTTCAAATACTCCAGCTGCAGAGCCACCTGAGAAACCCTTTCAAGGCATGTCTTGAAGCCGGTGGCACGTTCATCACCATCTCACCGCTCCGGACCGGACAAAGAATGTGTCGGAGAATCTGTTTGCCGTGTAAACGGGTATTCATGTTTGTTTTCAATATGAATCTTGAACGAGGCGAGTATGCAGGTGCCCTCGCACCCGGCATCTCACATGGGTCTGCTAGAACAGCGTGCCCATTCACCTCTTAGGGCATGACAGGAATCCCGGTAATACATATGATGAGGGAAAGGCCGCTGCTCTCTACTTCGTCTCTCTGTTCTTCATTTGACAGTCTCCAGAGCTAGTTCCCGTTCAAAGCTAGCCAGCATGCGTTTGGGAATAGCAGTCGCGATCTTGTCCTTTGCGGGCCCGGGTCTGGCTCGTTTCGGACCACAGCAGCAGACTCCGAGTGAGAACCTATCATCCAGACCGAGGCGCTTCATTGTAGAGCTCGCGAAGGTAAGTTATCACGGGTTTGATAGTTCCAAGACATTTCTGACAATATCAATCATCACAGGACTCGGATTTCAAGCAGCTCGAGACAGAGCTATCCGCTTTCACCGGTGCGACGGTGTACAAGACTTTCCGCAGTGCTGTCTTCACCGGAGCCAGTGTCGAGTTGACAGGCAACAACGAAGAGTTCCTGCGTTTCCTACGGGGTGCGAGCAACGTTTGGCCATCGCGCAGAGTCCAGAGGGCCGTGGTCGAGGATGACCAGGAGTTCAGTGGAGGTGTCTCGGGAAGCAACTACAATATTCACGGCATCACTGGTGTCCAAAGGCTTCATGAGAGAGGAATCCTGGGCAAAGGCGTCAAAGTTGCTGTTGTTGATGCTGGTATTGACTATACACATCCCGCTGTGAGTTCTGGTTCCCTTCTTGACTCGCGGTTGCCAGCTGACATCTTAGCTTGGTGGTGGTTTCGGTGAGGGCTTCAAGGTCATGGGCGGATATGATCTCGTCGGCGACTCAGGTGAGATCAGGATCACCAGCACATCTTCACACAACATGGGCTTACAAGGAAACATGATAAGACTGGCCTAGTGGTGATGAACCCAAACGGCCTGACAAGGACCCGTACGAGAAAGATTCTCTCGGCGGGCACGGAACGCATGTCTCTGGGATTGTTGCTGGACAGTCAGAAACGTTAGTAAGCACTTTCGATGCTTGGAGCAGGAGACTAATAAGGTCATAGCTGGCAGGGAGTTGCTCCTGAAGCTAACATCTTGTCTTACAAGGTCTTTTCCGGGACGGTAAGCAGAAGACCCTGGCTTTCAGGCCCATGCTGACTGTGACTACAGAGTGGCGATACAGATGAAGAGACGCTTATTGAGGCGTTCTTAATGGCTCATAATGATGGCGTAAGTTTGGTCACAATTCTCAACCGGTTGTTCTCTCATCTGACTCCATGCTAGGCCGACATCATCACCGCTTCGATCGGAGGTCGCGGAGGGTTCTCGTCCAACGCCTGGGCCGAGATTGCTTCCCGTCTCGTGGATCAAGGCGTCATCGTGACGATCTCCGCGGGCAACACGGGTGAAGGCGGTGCTTTCCTCGGGGAGAACGGTCAAGCCGGACGAAGCGTACTCTCAGTGGCGTCTACTGAGCCCTCATACGTCCCTGGGATGCCCTTTGAGGTGACCTTTGACTACGGAAACGGCGACGTCAACAAGTCAAGGTACGGATTCTTCTATGGTGGCCTCACACACAGCTTCCCCCTCAACTCGAGTCTTCCCATTACCGCACTGTCCTTCGACCCTCTCAACACCACAATCGGGTGCCGCTTCTTGCCACCAGGGACGGTCAACATGACTGGCGCCCTTGTGATGGTTCCGCGTGGAGGCTGCAATGGCTTCAACAAACGATATGCCCTCCAGTCTGCTGGCGCCAAGTACATGCTGCTGTTCAACGATAATGAAACATTCCCGATGCCCAATAGCTATGACGTTTATCGTACCGAGGGCATCACGGAGCATGCTGTTGGTGTCGAGATCCTTGCCGCGCTCGCAAAAGGGGCTAAGGTTACGGCCCGTTTCTTCAACGAGTCCGATTCGGATCTGGTCAACTTGAAGAACCCCGTCGTTGTCAGCTCCTACTTCACTTCTATGGGTGGACTGTACGATCTCCAGATCAAACCAGACATCGCAGCTCCAGGAAGCAACATCTTTTCCACCATCCCGCACGGGAAATATGGCCTAAAGTCGGGCACGTCAATGGCCACGCCGTACGTGGCAGGTGTAGCTGCACTCTTCATCTCGAAGCATGGTGGCAGAAAGGTCTACGGCCCCGGGTTTGGGCAAATGCTCTCAGCCAGGATCTTGTCTAGTGGCGATTCGCTTCCGTGGAATAACGGGCTGAACATGACAGACTATGGGACGACGCGCGCCCCAATCTTTCAACTAGGCAATGGCTTGATAAACGCTACCAAGATCCTGGACTACCGGACGGAGCTTTCGTACGCGAAGTTTGCGCTCAACGATACCACAAATTTTCGCGCTTCGCATTCTGTCATGATTACGAATAAGTGCACAGGTTCCATCACGTACAGTTTTTGCGTCGAGACTGCGGGGACGTATGAGGTTCTTGATGATAGAGACAATGTCAAGATGGGACCTCAGTATGCGGGCTTGGTGCCATTGGCTACGCCGTTGGTCCCGAACGTGACGTTTCCCAAGGAGTTTACCGTTGGTCCGGGAGAGACTAGAGAGGCAAAGTAGGCACACCACGTCGCGTTCTCTTATTACCGCCGTCAACTAATGCCTTGACTTAGATTCACCTTCGAGCACCCCAAAGGCGGAAACCATTCAGCTATGCCCCTTTACAGCGGCAAGGTTCGCATCCACGGCTCCAACGGGGAGCAGCTCTCGGTGCCTTACATGGGCGTCGCGTCCGATCTACGCAAGACCTTTAGGAAGATATTTGTCGACAAGTACCCGTATATCAACTCGGGAACGGATGACACTCCTATGGTATACAAGGCCAAGTAAGACCCTACTAGCACACTCCTTACAATAACCTTGCTGATGTATGCTTCCTAGCTTCTCCTTTGACCTCTCCCTAGAAGCGCAGGATTTCCCAAAACTCTACATGAATTTCCGATGGGGTTGCTCCGTCCTACGCTGGGACATCTTTGAGCGCGGGTGGGAAGAGAAGAGCTGGGGGACGTATCCGCCTGTTCCTGGAGAAGGTGGATTCGTTGGACATGCTGCGACCTGGGTAAGTTCATCTCATCTGATACATTCCTCGCCTTCACTTTGCGGCACCTTCGTACCTGAATAGCGCTTATCTGTACACAGGACAACGAAAGGCACGCTACCGTCTTTGATCCAGACAACGATAACGAATTTGACCTCATCCGGGGTCCCATGGGAGAGCTCTCGAGGGAAGATTACAACTACGCACCCTGGAGGGCGTGGTGGCTTGGCAGGTTCTCTGACGGCTCGAAGATTCGGCCTGGAAATTACACGTAAGTCTCTTGGATGGATACACTTCTCGATGTAGAGATCTAACGAGACATCGACAGTATGCGAGTTGCTGCGCTGAGTCCGTTTGGAGACCCGACGAAGAGCGATCACTGGGATATCTGGAGGCGCGACTTCATGGTTGTTGGCAATCAAACATTGCCTGACAGTTGAGTCACATATGCTGGTCTACAACGCGGCTAGGCTTACAACTCCTGAAGCTGGGAACGCTTTGCGTGAGAGCTGGGAGTCGCCAAGAAAGAATGAGCCGATATCCCATCTGCGAGGGTGCTCATCGCGCTTGTTTCTACTCAAGTACATGTATAGTAGTCTGGTGAAAAAATAGACCGAAGGATTGAGGTGCTTGCGGGTAAATCATCCCATGACAGCGCCAACAGCAGCATGTGAAGAGGTCCGCTAAGTCTCTGTAATGGACATTTCATCCAATTTCATAGTACCCGGCGCCTTGGATCTCTCTACTTACAATCCATAATCTATGAGTAGAATGCGCATCATCTCGCCCTGGCGTTGGATCAGGGCATATGAGAAGATGACAGAGAGTAGAGGAGGGAACCGTAGTAAGAAGTAGGTTTACATTAATGCCGCCACGAAATCCCTGTCCGACGCGCTCAGCGAATGGGAACAGTGCCGATTGCCAAATAAGGCCTCTGTCTGCCAAGTCTCTAGACAGCGTTTTCACGAGTTCATCCAGTCTTCTGTGTAACCTCACACCATACTCACACAGGATCGCACCGGATGATTGATCCTCTAAAGGAGACGTCAACACAGGTTGCCCGGCATGAAAATGACTAGCAGACGCACAAAAGGCACCGTCGCCCCGGATTGCAGCCAGACTGAGGCAGCAGGACAGCAGTCGTCGCCGACCAAGTCCCGCCCGAGCCCTGAAGTTAGCGTAGGGTTGTGCCCCACGTTACTTATTGGCTTAACTCGCGTTTGCTCCCAACCAACTATCACTGGATGTCAACATCCACTCATCCCCGATAGTCTAGTGGTGAGGATATCTGCTTGTCACCGGGGAAATCCCACGATTCGCAGGGGACCGGGGTTCAATTCCCCGTCGAGGAGTCTCTCTTTTGCTCTGTCTCATTATTTTTTGAGTTGCTATGAAGAGAGGGTGGCGATGATGAGTTGTTGTGAAGAGAGGATGGTGATGATGAGTTTTTGGAGTGAGGTGGACGCAGGTGGGAAGTTGGGAGTTCTGCATGTGGCCCGAGCGCTGCTGCCAAGTGGCAACCGGTCGCTCTCTCCTGCTGCACATGGTACTTGACTCTTCAGAGCTTTTTCACGTCCGACGTGTTCGACGAGTGAGTGAAGGGAGGCGAGTTGCCGGGTTTGCATGTCTTATTGTTTCAAGTTTTATCTCACAGTTACCTGCTTCCTACACGGGTATCTTCTTCCCGTACCTTTCGTCTCTGTTATTTTCTTTTAGTCCCCACGCCCAGGGCGATCAATTATCGAGCATCGAGCAGTAGTGCAATATCATACATGAATGCCCAGTCAAGTGGGTGACAAAATCGATTCCTTGCTCTTCATCTTGATAACGCCCCTTTCACTACTCATATCATAATTACTACCTTTCTGTATCCAAGTCCTTCTCAGGTATATACGTAGAGAAATACACTCCATTTAATAGATATCAATGCTAGTGATAATAGCGGTACTAGTAATTATAGCGGTATCAGTGATGATAGCGATGGAACTGCATGTCGAATGTGTCGAGCGGAAATCGATTTTGTCACCCGCTTGCCAGTCAAATAAACGCAAAACCCCTTCTCAAGTCATTAGTACTCATACACATCCCCTTCCGTGAATCCATCCTAGTTGGAACATATCATTTGTCAAATGTGATCACCGAAATGCTCGGCTGGCCATCTCCTGCGCCAAGCAGGCCCATAGAAGTACACCACGGGAACGAAAACAGCAAAAGCGCTGATCAGCCCGGTGTAAATCATCATCGCATCGAAGTAGCCCATATCCACCACCCAGTCGGAGATCTTGAATGACAGAATAAAAGCTAGCAAACCTCTGAACGAGGCAATGTTGACTAGTGCCGGGCCCGCGAGGTGGGGATAGCACTCGAGGACGTAGACCGCGCCAATGGTGTTGGCACCCAAGAAGCCAAACGCCATGAGGCCGAGGCCTGTGAGGAAGGTGAAGTAGGAATACCTTGCCTGGTTCGAGCCCGCCAGACCAAAGATAATGGAGCCAATAATACCAGCGAGGGTCGGGATGATGAGGTTCACAAGTTGGTTTTCAGGGACGCGGACTCCGCGTTTCTTCGCGATGCGGTTCGCCATCCAGTCGGCGGCACTTCCTGTGACCAAGGCAACAGCGATAGCGGCGATGAGGACCGGCACGAGGCAGAGGCCGAGGTTCATGAAGTCCCATCTGTATCGGCGTTAGTCGGGTCTCTCACCCGAGTTTGAGAATTCATCACTTACGACCAGGGTGCTGTCAAGAGAGCTGGGGCCACAGTATAACCAGCAGCGAAAGCACACGCAATCATCACACTGTTAAGCATGGTGATGAAGAAGATTTGCGGATAGAAAAAGGTGCGAAGAGTATCGACGAAAGCATTCCAGCCCTTGCGCCAGTCCATCTTCCCGTGGAAGAGAGCAATGTTGTAGCGGAAGGTTCTGGGACTGCGCTTATGGCCAATCTCGTTGCGAGGAATGCCATCTGAAAGTTCAAAGTTAGCCAATATTCCCAAATATTCTGTATGTTTCCGACTTACTCATCTCCGCCCGTGTTCGTTGCCATCTAGTCTCAGGCATGAAGAAGTAAACACCAACGAGGAAGAATGCCGCACCAATGGCCGTGATATAGTACATCCACCGCCAGCTCAAGTCGATAATCATGTACGGTGCCGCGATCCCAAGAACAATAATGATGAGACCCTGAGCAGCAAAGATGCTGGAAATCCATGCATTGCGCTGGTGCACAAAGACCATGTCCTGGATAATGAACGGAATCAAACTCTCAACGGTTCCGGCGCCAACAGCTTGGACACAGCGAGCGAGAAGATGTGACTGCAGCGACTGACTGCTGCCTGCCCAGAGACATCCAATGATGGCAACAACACCGGTGCCGAGGACAACGGGACGACGGCCGACGGAGATAGCCATTGGAACGAGAACCAAGTTGGCCAAACCAATGACCAGAACCGGTAGTGAAGCCAAGAGGTAGATTTGAAAGATTGGCGGCGCACTTGGCAGATTTGACAGGACCTTCAGGGGGTCGAGGCCCGCCGGGAGACCACCGCTGTCGGTCAGGGGCTTGAGGATCTTCGGGTCGAGACCGGCGTATTCGAGAGCAAAGACGGGCAACATGGCACCAAGAATCAGCTCAGCGGCAGCAGCCAGCGCACCGAAGCAGCAGAGACAGAAGCATCCTAGGACTTTGCGGGACATGGGTAGATTGAGGGGATCCCGTGGATCCTTAGTTGGCGCCGGCTGGAGGATAAGCTGCCCATTTCTGTATAGGACACCCTCTGATGCCTCCACTTCAAAGCTCGTCTGGAAAGTCTCTCCATGCTTTACCCTCCTGTCAATGTCTGTCACCGAGCTGTTGCGGCTGCTGAAGTGGGATTTTTGATTGCCCTCGAAGCCTCGGTTGCCACTCTTCTCGTCGTTGCGTCGCCAGAGTGGTTCGAAGAAGCTGGAGCCCGCTGATGATCTCGCGGCCTGCACGGGAGCGGGTCGTGTGGCTTCTTGAGGCGGATAGTCCATACTTTCTTGGTTGACCTGTCGCGAATTGTGTGCGGCTGTAGCGTTGAGCTCCATGCTGGGCCTTGATTGTGTGAATAGGCAAGAAATAGTGACTAGATCCAAAAGTTGGAAGACAGCTTCATATTGAAACAACTCAGAGGAATAGCTCTGAATAACATGCAAAAGCCACGACGGGTCTCGCCATCTTGGAACCCTGATTCTAACACAGACCAAGACGCTATGGCGCAGCGAAACACGGAACGCGTTCAGAACAATGCAGCCACACAGACGTCGGCCACGATATTTGACAGTACCCCGCAAGTTATCGCCAATGGCTAGCCTTGTAGGGCAGCACTGCGTCTCTCAATGCCTTTGAATTAGGCTACTATTTGAATTTTCTTCATTGTTAGATGTTTCGTTGACGTCGCCGGGTCTGTGTTGATGCATCTCTGCTTCCGGTTTGCCTCTGTATGCTGTTTGCTAACAAACAAAGAATGGACGAACAGGCGCCCGTGCTGGGCCGGCCGATCTTCCTCAACACGGAACTGCTTTGAAGACCGAAATATGGATGAACGGGGCCATGAAGGTGTCGGAGTGGCAACCTTGAACATGCCCAACGACACGGATAAATGGGCACCCACTGAGGCGATGATGGCCCAAAGAGTAGGCAATACATTAACTTAGAAACCCCTCTTTCATTATGACAACGACTATCCTTATGTCTCTTTCACTAAGATGTTTTGAATCCACTCAACAAACATTTCACTCGTGGAAGAGGCCTTTTTATCCAGATAGAAGACTTAGGTATTTGTCCATTGAAAAACCGTCATCAGTTGATCAATATCTACTCTTAGCATGAGAAGTGGAGGAAGTTATCGCAGCTAGATAGTTTGAGGATGAGGTCCATGTATATTCTATGAAATAAGAGACATGCCCCGATGGTCAAGTGGGCTGCAGACTCTCCGGGACTGAGATGAGTATCTCCCGCATTCAATTCGTTACAACGATTTGGCGTCGAGCAGGCCACGTCTAAGAGACTAAGATGAGGTGAATTAATCCCTTGTAAGGGAAGATGCTATGTCTAAGTTGAGTCTATATCATCCTAACAATCAAAGCAAACATAACACACTATACGATGGTCTTGATGCAGAAACCAATAACTCCATGTTATGCTGGGTATCAAGCGTGCCGTCCGCTGTGACGTCGCATAAATCTTCAATTACATCAGCAGCCAAATCCGAATCCGTTTCTAAGAATCCCTTGCGGCTCCATCATTCATTTCTCGTTTCTGACTTGCTCTTCATCGGACTGCAAAGTCACTTCCGTGCTAGCAGAGCGAGGAGGGATAGAGACGGTGTCGTCTTGCTGAGCCGGGGCCTTTGCAGCAGCGGCGGCGGCAGCACCAGCCGCAACAACGGCCGCGGCGTCAGCGCAGCGCTTGCGGATGGAGAAGACGGAGCCTACGTGGCCCACAAGCCACCAGGAGAAGAGAACAGGCAGGGCGACGCGCGTCTGATCAGCGCAACCAGTCCATGCCTGCACCAAAAGAGAGTAGATTTCGTGCGCCGGGAAGGCGTAGCCGATCCTGTAGAAGCCCGCCATGATCTCAAAGGGGAACACGCTGCTAGCGACGTTGGTGAGCATCCAGGTGAGGAAGAAGAACGGGATGAGCTGCATGGGCACAAAGGATCCGATGAGGGACTCGAGAACCTGCCACTGCACATCCATGTAGAGCCAGAAGACGAGGAGAGTCTTGCCGAACTCAGGGCCCCCGACAGCCCAGTTCTCCCTAAAAGCCCAGAGATAACCCGTGACAGTGACGGCGGTGAGGAAGCCGTAGATCTTGCCAATGGTGAAGCGGATGAGCCAGACGTCGCGGACTCTCATCTTCGCGAGGAGGCCGGAGCTCATGCCGATGCCGTTCAGGGCCAAGATGAAGAAGAACTGGGCGAGGGTGGGGACGATGATGTTGACGGTGTTGAAGAAGACGCGACTCGCTTGCGTCTGGGCGCCAATGAGGTCGGCGGTGGACGAGATCGGGTTCAGGTAGGCGGCGATGGCGGCCGGATTGGTGGTGTTCAGGGATCGGAGGGCAGCCGTGCCGTTGGGCGACTGGTAGTAGAAGGCCCTCGATGCGCCGACGACCTTTTGGATGTTGCTGTTGATGGTGGAATCGGCGATCGCAGGGTATCGGGCCTGGTTGTAGGTGTATGTGACCGAGTCGGCGGCATTGTAGGCTGCGGTCGAGGTGCCGTTGATGGCGCTGGCGAGCTTCGCAGACGCGCCCGCGTTGATGTAGATGGCTCCCCAGTAGTCTCCTTTGCATACCGCGTTCTTGACCGCTGCGGGAGTTGAGTATTTTGAGGCGGAACCAAACTCGATGGTTGGGAAGTTGGCAGCTTGGAGGCTCTTGGATGCGCCTACAATTGCCGAACCAATGGCGCCCCCATCCAGGTCAACGGCGAGAATCTTGAGTGCATGTGTGCGCTTCCCTTGCTCGAATGTTGCTCCAAAGAGATATGTCATGTTGGCAAGGACGAGAACCAAGATCAGTATCGATGACATGACCATAGGTATGATGATGCCCTTCCGTTGAGCAGCACTCCATTGTGAGAGTGGTGTCCTCTGTGGGACGTTGTTGGGTGACATGGCTATCGAAGTTTTCGTTCTGATTCGTCTGGCAAGTTATGATTGAGAGGCGATATCACACAGCTGATGTGGGTTAGATATGCTTAAAGCCGAATGAAGTGTAGTTGAGTCGTCAATCTCCTGAGGATGTCGTGTGAAAGGAAAAGAACTGGTGATGTGCCAAGGGGTAGGGCTGAATTTAACAATGGGGAGATTCGTAGTCTTAAGAGGACCATAAAAACGAAGATCCTATGTTTGTCCATGTGGCTCCCTATGTAGCGCCAGGAGATAAAGGGAGACCCATTGGTTCAAGAGCGCGGAGACCGGCCGAGACGGACGGTCAACGGGGTACGGCAAAACCGCCGGGGCTCGGAGCACTCTATATGCCATTATTCGTCATCATCCTCTTCGTCGTGACTCTTATTGAGTCTAAAGCGACATGGATGGCTTCGAGTTTCTTCCAGGCTGCCGTATGTGATCTCGGAGCTAAGTCCAAGATGCGAGGTAGCGAAGGGCCGAAGCTACCTCGTTGGCAACTTGGCCTCCTTTTCAGGTATGGAAGCACCCGCGATAGAACTGGGAAGTGGGTTGGCTTGGGCGTTGGTGTGGTCGCAAAGTCTTCCGATGCGTCAGTAGAGGGCGCAAGGGGTGGCCCCCCTTAGTTGGAGTTATCTAATATGGATCCGGCCGCTAGACGGCGCATCGGTGCTTACGTTCGCCGAGCACCGGACTTTTTTTCATTAGCATCTGGCCGCTCCCCCGGCCTGTTGGTTCTGTTAGTCGTCCACGTTCGTCCTTTCTCTTGACCGTTCCTTAAGTGCTGACCATGTTCCAGACTCATTAATAATCGGTTTGTCCCCCATCCCCCAGGTTAGAGAGATGTTCTCGGGCAATAGTATTATCCGTAAAATGACCAGCGTCAATCTTGGATTTTACGAAGTCCGATTTCATGCCAAAATCAACACTGTCAGCGCACAGACAGTTGTCACTGTACGTTCGGGACACTAAACTGCGGGCGCTACTAACTCAAGACAGGTCCCAGTACATCAATACATCGTTGCACTGATCATCTCACGACGACATACCATGAGCACATTGCCCTTTGGGATTTGAAGTGTTGCTGCATAGGCAACGATCTTGAGAATTGCTCTACGTGTAGACGGGTTGCTACAGGAGGTATGGTGCGCGTCCATTCCACAGGTCTTGTTTGTCTTTGATGATTGGCTCTTGGTGGCGGCAACGCAAACGTCGTCCACCGCTCGCTCTCGGGTAGCAAATTGGGGCTTCGGTCCCGACTAATCTAGGCTCTGGGCCAGGCGATCCAACAGAACTTATGGTATGATCTCCCCAGGTCGCGACAGCCCCGGAAGCGATCCACCCAGCTGTCGGATTTACAAAAAGGCTCCGGCCGAAGCATAAACTCCAGCCCCAAAATCTCACAGCCACTCGGCGATGAGCTTTTGATGCTAGTCTTCGCGTCAACCAACGACTCCATTAGCAAATGCATTAGCTGGGCAATTTGCTGCATCTAGGGAGATGGTCCCTCATTTTTCGCTCGTTACCCCTCCATCAATCTTGTTTCTCACGATCAACTGAGTTGTGCACGACTTATGGGCAAACACTACTCCTAGCACTCGACGCATTATCTCCGGAGGTGTTCCGGCCCGGCCGAGAAAATTGCCAAGTCGGGACGATATGTTCATGGTCGCCGGGGCATGACCCGCACGCCTGATTATCGTTCGATCGGTAGCTGGTCACGGCACACTGTAAGAACAACACATTAGCCGCAGTTTTGAACTCTGGTCTCATTGAAAGTCCGACGCCGAGCGCACTGATATAGAGAAGTTCTGTGGGATCTCGACTTTGCCGACGCATCAATGTTCAAGTAAGGTAATTGTCATACCTTATGAATTGAGCACGTATTGACCTTCGCTTGGAGTAGGCTTTGGTCAACTTAAAGCCCTCTATTCCCTGCGGGCTTGGTTCTCAGTGATGAGAAAGCTCACTGACGCTATCTTGGCTCGAGGAATGTCTGCCACCTGTAGATATGACTCCAGATGCACGAAATAGTACTTCGTAAGAGTATGGATAGCCCTTGTCAATATCGGAATCGCCCCACTCGCTCAGGCAATGTCACGATGGCACGCAGCAAGCTGCATATCGAGCAAGTAGATTAAATAGCTTATGGTATCCCAACCCGAACAGAGAAAAAGAAGTGGTCTATATGGGTAAAGAATGCGCAATTCACCCGAGAGCGCCTGTGACAGGACGTTTCTTGAGTTCCAATTCTATCTCTGTTTTGTAGCAGAAGAGCAACATACGTGCGGCTTGTAGATGTCAACCGGCCACTATTGCCACGCACTGAAGAAAGCTATTGGATATCGTCGTCGGTGACGCCGTGAAGACTAAAGAGAACATTCAGACTTGTCAGTGAGGGCCAGGATAGGCTCAGACTTCTCGAAATATCCTAGACACTGGCATGCAGTTGGCGCACGGGATAAATCGGTGCAGCTGAAATTGCCTGGTCCGTGAAGCTTCAACCAGACCGGTTTCGCGATGTCTTGGTCGTCGATCTAGTTGCTGTGCCGGTGGCTATTAGTTGCGGAACCAACTTTGGCCGTAGGCAAGCGACAGAAAGCTTGGTGATTGTGAAGGATCCATGTCCAAATCCTGCTATCCAACTTGGATATCAGAAATACCATGAATTCCTCTAGTTCCGTCCAGACCAACAAATCTGACTTCTTTCTTAAATTCCTTCTCAGAAAGACACATGACTTTGCCGCTGCCATCGAAGCAGAACTTCTGTCGGAAAGGCTACATTAGGGTATCTGTCTGACAGACGACAGAGTCCTCTGCGCTAACAAAGGCATCCTCCATCATCTCGAGTTCACTAAGTCCATCGAGATGGCCGAGTTTTGCTATAGCTCTCACCAAAATGGCGATGTATGCTTCAAAACACGCAACGCCCGACTTATCACGAGCAAGACCATAATTGTCTGAGATGGATCCCGAGAATTGCTCAAACACAAGCCGTCCTAACGTTGCGACTGTAGGGACATATCGCGGGTTCGCCCGCTTTTATCCCGATATGCGCTACCATGACGGGCGAGTCTGAGCTGTCGCCGACTATTATACCCAAATATGCCATAAACTTAACCTCTTGTCCGAAGTTTTCCTTGCGGAGGAGGCTGGTGACAACAATTCTGATGCAACATTGGAATCCGTTGTGGGAAATGAAGTCAAATATGCGATGATGGACGACTGTGGGCAAAACATCCACCTCGAGAGCCCAGCAGTCGGGCAGTCCTCAATCGCGACATAGCTGTCCGTTCTTCTCTTGTATTTTACCGAAGCTTTGGAGACATCAAACCGAGTAGATACTACGAACACTACTTTGGGGTTGAAGGAGTTGGACACATCAGCCCCAAATGACCTCCAAAACTTAGCTACAGTCGAATGGAGGATCTAGTTGACCATGACGGTGTCGACTTCTTCAGAAAGGCCATCAAGTCCCCCTTCAACTAGAACAATGCTTTACCGCGCGTAACACCTGAGGCTGGTGGGAAAATACTGCCATAGATGTTCTGGTAGCCACAGCGGCCACATGAAAATACTGTGAGACAGTTGGTATGGCAACGTCCCGACCTAAAGCATCAATGTGCCATTGCTTGTGTTGTTGGCAACTTACACCGTAATCTCTTCGAGAACCTTCGGCTTTTGCCATCTCATTTGCAATGAATAGCGGCCTGCCAGAACCTGAACCCATAGTGCAGGAATGATGCAAAGAACGCGTGAAGGCTGCCGGCATGGGAATTGGAGGTAAGCACGTAGGCCTCATCCAAGGGATTCCCAGAGATGTCAGCTGGAGTTCGAGATTTCCATGATGAGACAGGAAGCCGTCCGGAGATTCAGAGTTGCTCAAGATACTTGAGTGCAACGCTGAGAGAAGATCTGATAGCACATATAATGGCGAGGAAAAAATTGGCCTGGGTGGTTTCCTCAACGAACCCGTACAGCAGCAAATGGCGGCGTAGGGGATTTGTTCAAGCGCAATGGACGAGGCGAGGAATGCCATGCATTTGGGTTTTATGTACTTTTCTCATTGAGAGGCTCTAAACTGGTGTCAGGGAAGTCCGCCGACCCCAAGAGAGTCTTGTGTCAAGGGATTCGAATCTTCTCCTGGAGCAGAATTGTCGCTATATGCTCTTTCGAGGAAAAAAGAAGCAAAAGGTTGAAAGGTTTGGTCGCCAAACTACGTTCCTAGACCATTTTCTACTACATCAAAAGCCAGCCGTCGCAACTTAAGTGGCATGATCCTCAAATGAAGTGTATTCGTTCTCCTATAAGTATCACATACAGGACTAGATCGTGAATAAATGTCAAGACTGGTCACAGAACAAGGGTCGGGACTAGCACTGGTAAAAATATAACAACGCCAGAAGTGAAGGATATAGATTGTGAATATAGGCGGCGTATGCTGACCAATACGGCAACATGCTCGCCGCGATGCTATTCGAAAATTCGCGAGAAAGCGATTCCGCATAAAACTCGAGCAGCGCTGGTGCAAATTATCAGTCATTTGTTTCGGTTAAGCTAACTTAAATCATTGGGCAGTCATTCCCATCTGCAAAACCCGACTTAGCTCGGCTTCGCAACAGGCCTGGGCCCTGGCCAGTTTGTCGAAGCTTTGATTCCGAGATTGAGTTTAATATGTGGTGTAACTTATGGCGTGTTTGTCCTCTTTCTCACAACAAGGAGCTTCTGAACTCTGTCGGGAAGAAATGAAATCAATATTGCGGACAGGCAGAATTCTTTTTGGCGTGGGCAGACATCAACCAAGTCACGTAACACCAGCTGAACATAGCGCTTGGCACGGGGGCAGATGTTGCGCGGCCAGGCCCTTTTTGTTCTCTCACCCGTCGTTTTGTACCTGAAACTAAGCCTCAATTTGCAATGTTTCACCACGGGCCATAAGTAGCAGGGGCAGTCCACGATGGGCAGAAAAGAAGCTAAATCTTTTCTCGCGGGATTTTGGGACAGTGGACGCGCAGCAACTCTTTTTTTTTTTTTTTAAGTTTGCTGTTTCTGTCAGTGAACAGCGCCGGCGATCGCGGGGGACGAGTCAATGCACGCTGCATCACGGATACTGAGGGAATCATGTCACAAGCGGAAGTGAAGTTACACCGGGACAATATACGACACAAGAGGTAGATATTCACAAAAGTTCCAATCGGAACTGGAGGATATATTCGGTGAAAGAATATGTACGAAGAAAATGAGTAATATGGTCCTGCCCAGCAACCCAAAGCATTTTCAGCCCAGGGAATCCTGATCACCCCTTACATGTAAGCGGAGTCGTAGTAAGCCGCGCTGGTGTAGCTGCTGCCCAGAATGCTGGCGGGAGTAACGGCAGCGCTCAGCTTCTTGGAGAAGCTGGCACGGGTGCCCTGGGATCCGATGCCGGTGTTCTGGTACTCTCCGAACAGAACGTTGGCGGTGCGAGGGTCGCCGTCGTTCCACTGCTTCCAGCCCGCGGAGTTGATGACGCCGGTCATGGAGGTCTTCTGGAAGACAACCTGGGCATACTGGCCCCAGGGACGGCCAAGGTAGTAGGCGCCATCGGCGACGGTGTTTCCGGAGGCGGCGGCGATGCTGCAGCTGTTGAAGACGTATTCGGACTTATCGGACGAGCTGGCACGGCCGTTGGCTATTATCTTTTGTTAGCGTCTTG